TCGTTTGAAACAATTCCTTTGCTATTTAATTACGTCTTAAGGCGACGTTCGCTCAAATAATTAAAGCTACGGACATCATTACGCAAATATAAACTGAGGTAAAAGGCCGTAGAATTTCAGAGTCACAAATTACAATTATTTTTTTTCTCTCTCTCCCTCTTTGATGGTAGGCCCCGACATGAAACTCATAAGTCGGTGGTGTAAAGGAAAGCGCACGCTTCAGTGAAGTTTGCTCGCGGCGTGTTATGTAAGACGTTAAGACCTGCTATGAAATTAAGAAAACCCACGCAAAGAATTAAGACTATTATTTATTTGAATAAGAAGAAAATGATTTACTTTTTCCTTCTTTTTCTTTTTTTTTTTTAATTTTATTTATCGTAAGAGGCTTACTTTGATCTCTTTGAAATGTTCGTATGGTTTAATGGAAATACTATATTTACTGATTTCGTATATAGATATATATACGCATAATATGTGTGTAATATAAAAGCTTATATTGGAATGAATTTGTCAATAAATTTCGATTAAAGTCGAATGAGCTTCAATGATTTTTTTTCCGCGAGACTTTGGACGCAGAAAAATAAAACAAGAAATAAAAGAGAAAAAAAAAATTAATGCGTGTAATAAATACATCGAAAATCCACGGCAACTTCATTAGTCTGGAGATTTAGTTGCCGCAGACTGCGGATCGTGGTTTTTCTTTCATCTATTTTTACCGCACAGAAGCAAGCGGGTGCAGACACTAGATGCGTCTTTTGACTTGAACAAAACAGCTGAAATATTGTTGAATTCGTAAATCAATACTTTTAAAGGCCATTTCGAATGCTTTTTTCCAACTCGAAAATTGTGGTCTTTAAAAAAAGACGGAAAAGAATAACAAGTTGGGATATTTTCAATAGTTTTAACGATAAACTGTATAAATTCTTTTAAATTTCAAAAATCGAAAAACTTTTTCGTGTTAAAGTCAATAATAATATTATAATAATTAATTAATTAAATAATTATATTAATTAATTAACTAAATAATTATATTAATTAATTAACTAAATAATTATTTAAATTAAATAATAAAATAGATTAAAATATTTGAAATAATAATAATTAATCAAATGAAATTTGTACTAAAAACTTTTTCTACAAAAAAAGATTTTTTCGAAAGCATTTTCTCTTTTTATTAAGAAAATGTTTATGCTTAAGTTATTAAATTGATTTTTTCGTTTTTAATTACAAAAGTTTTCAAAATTGTGATCTTTTTGGTGATTTTACATTTCAGAAAACTTTTGATTGCAAATTTTAATCAATAGTGTTAATAAGTTACGAACGATATCTTTCATAACAAGGTGCAAAAAAGTGCCCTTTTTTGCACCGCGTTATGAAAATACGTTATATTAACGAATTGGTAGCAAAATCTGTCAATTATTCCGAACGCGTCAAACTTTTATTAAATTAAAATAATAGTAAAATGTATAAATATATTATTATAATATGTCCATTAAGCATATTTTTTAGTTTGTATCAATTTTTTATGGCACAAACTTTACTAATACCGAATTATTTACACGAATTCAGCTTCTTTTCTTTGCTTCATGTTTCGACTTGATTTTCGCATTATAACATTTTTCGCCATTTTCTAATTGCAATTTTATTCCCTATTATTTAGTTTATAAAGTTTTTTAAATCTACTTACACTAAACATTTAAAATTCTTTAATTGTACCTTGTTATTTACTTTCTGCCGGTGATGGGTAACATAACCTCAAAAACATGCTTACTTCTCTGGTCTGGAACGTCTACTTCTTCCGAACTAAATCGTATTTCAATTTACTCATCTGTGACATAAAGAATTCATGTTTCTGTTGCAAATACTTTCATTCGAATTATTTATAGCGATAATTAGATATCGTTTGTGTAAAATTTGACAGTTTTGTTGATTACAAGACACTTGTTTCCTGCATACTACTGTTGACACGGCGCACGCAGCGCTGTAAGCAATAATGCCTTCTGATTGGCTATTTCCAGAAGTTCGAAACGTAACCGCGAAATTTCAAATCTTGAAATATTCAGATAATTATTTTCTTGTTTATAAATTGTGTAATTATTTACTTAACTTTTTATTAAATATTTATTAATATTCAATACAGTATTTATTTAATTACACACAATTTAATTAATCAAATTAAGGTAAAATTTCTAAAAACTAATTAAAAATAATAATTAAAAAAAAGTTAAATTAAATAATAATTTTTTGCAATTATTTAAGTAATTGTTTACAAAAAAATTTACTTAATTAAAAATATTATTCAAATTTTGGAAAAAAAATGGTATAAATTGTTTACAAAATTTTTTTATTGCAAACAAAAATAATTGTAAACAATGTCGATTAATTAGAAAATTAATTAAGTAATAAAAATTTCTTTTTTGCCAAAAAAAAGTATATAAAAAATTAATTTTGTAAAAAAAGGAAATAAAAATATTAATTTTGCAAAAAAAATTGTTTATAACATTTTTTTATTGCATACAAAAATAATTGTAAACAATGTGGTTTAATTAGAAAATTAATTAAGTAATAAAAATTTCTTTTTTTCCAAAAAAAGTATATAAAAAATTAATTTTGCAAAAAAAGGAAATAAAAATATTAATTTTGCAAAAAAAGTTGTTTGTAAAATTTTTTTTATTGCAAACAAAAATAATTGTAAACAATGACGTTTATTTAGAAAATTAATAATTAAAAAAAATTTTTTGCCAAAAAATGTACGTAAAAAATTAATTTTTCAGAAAAAGAAAATTAAAAATTAGTTTGGCAAAAAGAATTGTTTATTACAAATTTTTGTAAACAATAAGGTTTTGACAAGACAAAGTAAAAAAATAATTTTTTGCAAAAAAATTGTTTATAAATGATAATTTCCCATTAAATGTAGGAGTAATTATAAATAAAAGAGGTTTTATAAAAAAATCTAATTTTTGCAAAGTTAAAAAAAAAATTTTTGGCAAAAAGATTGTTTATAAATTATTATTAATAATAAGAAATTATTTTTTGTAATCAACAGAGACAGGGTTAAAATTGACTTATCTAATTATGTTTATACGAAAAAAAATTTTTTTTTTTGTTCGAACAAAATTTTTTTTATTTAAAAAAAAATTTTTTTTATAAACATTTTTTTTGCAAAAAAAATTATTAATAATTGTAAACAATAGAAGTAGAATGAGAAATTAATTGATTGAAAGGAATTGATGAAGGGAAAATATGGAAGCATGAGATGCATTGTGCTCTTCGATGAAACAGCCTTCGAAGCCCCCAACCCATTCTTCTCCTCGAAGCGGACCGAACAATCCCAGCAGAGTACTCATAGCACAAATCACTGCTTGCTGGTAGCTACAACTGCTCAGGATTGTGAATCCTCCCCTCTTTTGAGGTTCCTCCCCTGACAATCTGGCTTCAGTCCTGGTCAGGACGCTGCATCAGCTCAGTTCGAATCGTTCGGCTTGAGTATCGAAACGTCAAAATTTTCATTGTTCCTTGCAGAACAACCATTTAATTAATTCATTCTTACTAATATCTTAATATACATTAATCTTGTAATAGATATTTAGACTTCTCAGAGCATTCAGAAAATTTCTTCGAAGGGTATACTTCAAAAATGGTATGTGCACTCCTCACCCCTCTTCAGGTATGAATGCATCCATGTGAGATGATTCATTATGACAGCTTTTCATTTCATATTTCTTTATTCTTTTGCTACCTATCTCGCTTTTTATACTCTCTATTTAATTTCTGGTTTCAAATTTCCAGCTTAATATTTTTCTATAGCTTGTGATGATGTTTGTATATATGCGTGTATTATTTTTTTGTATGAATTTAATGAATCCTTCGAAGGTAAGTGGTGAACCGAGCCACTTAAGTCTTCGAAGAGAAATTTTTTTTTCTCCACCTCTATGCATATTATTTTCAATTAAAATAACAATCTAAAATGTAAATAGAAAACATTAACATTCTGTATAAATTAAAATAAACAATTTTTTTTGTAAAGGAAAAAAAAAATTTTTTCTTTGAAAAATTTTTTGGAAAAAATTTTAAAAAAAGTAAAAATTTTTTTTTTTGTGCACTGAATATGAATTTAATTTATAATATTTAATATAGAAATAAATTTTAACCCCAGTGTGTATAATATTTCAATAGAGGTTTATAACAAAAGAGTGAAGCGTATAATAGACTTGTATTCGAAACCCTGTGGGCCTTCGAAAGGTCTCTCCTTCGATGAAGCATAGACTGCCCATATGAGGCTCTATTAATATTTTTCCGCCTTATGAAATTTCTTTTCATTGATAATGCTAAAAGGGATTATTATTTTTTTAGCTTTCAACAGGATTCTAACGATTGTGTCATAATTTTTGGTCGATCAATACCCAGACAAAGATTCTTGCGCAGACTGATGAAAACCTTCATCGAAGCGACTCGATGCGCACAACTTGGACCATGTTTTCTCATAGTAAACCCCTCCCCCCCTCTTTTATGTGGTGCACATATTAAAAAAATATTCCCTTCAATCCTTAATTGGCATATGACTCAACCTTTAGCTCCATCGATCTGAAACTCTGAGTCTGAATGCCTTTTGTTCCGATCATCGAATGATGGTTCGGAGGCACATCGAGGCACATCGAAGCACTCATTTGACGAAATCAATACCTTTCAACCCCTCGCTTCTTTTTCTTTCTCCTCTTTATATTCTTATCATTATTGTTCTTGAAGGACTGATAATATTTGCAATAAAAAAAAATTGTTTATTTAAAAAAAAATTGCAAAAATAGAAAATTTTTTTTTGGAAAAAATTTTTTTTTTTGTATTTTGAATGTTTTTGATTGATTCTAATTGTTTGTTTTGAAATGTTCATATAAATTGTTTATTTAACAAAAATAATTCAAAAAAAAAATTTTTTTTTGATTGAAATTGAATTGGAAATTTGTTTTTTTGATTATTAATGAGAATTTATTTTATTGTTTCAGGTTTGGACCAGCCATGTCTTGTAGGCGGCGACGTGAATTGAAATTCACCATAGACAGAGAAGACGTACGCGAGAAACGCGTCAGATAGAATGAGTGGACCTCGACAGAGTGAAGCTCGCAGCTTCAATGAAAAATGTCCAAGGCCACCTGTTCCTGGTAAATGTTGCTCTTCACTTTTTTCCCTTCTTAAAATATTTAATTTTTCACTTCCTCATCAAGAAATTATTTTTTGTTTTCTTTTTCAGATTTTTTTTCGCTTTTTTATCTTCTTCATTAAATCTATGATCAAAAATGAAAAAAATATTGATTAAAACACTATTTTTCTGAATCGAATTAATTTAATTAATTATTGGTAGTTAAAGTAATTATTTTTCGTCTTTCAGGAGGAGAAACGGAAAAGTTTACTGGCGCTTGCAATCTTCAAAGTCCAGCATTAACACCAAGGCGTTCATCTCTCGTCCGTCCATCGATATCGAGCTATTATGACGCTTCCGCACCTTTGGGCTTTGAACCAGAGGGTTCTTGTGGCGCAACCATCATGGAGAGCGATCCACGTCTACCCTGTCTTCAATGGGCAAAAAATTTGCACAATCTTCTACACGATCCCGAGGGTCTTGAACTTTTTCGAAAATATTTGGATCAGGAAGGGAGACCTCACGTGAATCCCCTCAATTTTTGGTTCGCTTGCGAAGGCCTCAAAAAACAACGAGATGCTAAACAAATATACGAACTCATCAAACTCATTCATGGAAGGTGAGAATTCTGAAATAAAAATCGAAAAATTACTTTCTCAAAATTATTTTCTAAAAATTAAATAGAAAAAATAGAAATAAATGAGAATATATACAAAAATAAATAAAAATAAATGAGAATAAAAAAAATAAACAAAATTAAATAGAAATAAAATATAGAATATAATATCGGTAGAAATAAAAGAGAATATAATAAGAACAATTTTGAATTTTCGCAGGTTTTTCGTTAAGTCACAGCTACAAATACCGGAGGAAGTGCGAAAGGAGGCGAATCGTAGAGTTAAAGAAGGTCTAGTCGATAAGATGGTGTTTAATGTGGCGCAATTACAAGTTGAACATCTTATTAATGAAACGACATATCCGAATTTTCTGAGGTCCGACACATACCTACAGTATGTTCAATCCTGCCAAAATCCCGATCCTGGCGGTTGTCCAAGTCCAGGATCAAGTCGCGAAATGTCTCTTTCTTGTGGGCCTAATACGCTACCAACATTATTTGAAGACAGCGAATTTATCAGTTCGATGCATGTCCCTCATACAACTAGTTCAACGTCCATGGAAATGACTAGAGAAGTGAAATTAACCGAGGAGGTTCTCATGCGAACGCAACAAGTCAGAGCATTGGACTTTAAACGAAAACCCGAAGCTTTTGCTGGGTATGTATTTTTTAATTTTTTTAGTTAAAAAAAAGAAATTCTCCACTGACTGCCGTAGACATTTTACATATACCTGTTTTTAAAAATTGTCCATAGCATTGACGTTTCTTTCTTATTTTTTTAAAAAATTTTTTACCTAAATTATTGTGTAGAGTATTTTTTTTATGTACAGTAATTTTTTACACTGTAGAATTTTTTATTATTTTTTTATTTCGTACCGTAATTTTTGTATTATTTTTTATTCTGTAGTTAATTTTTTGAATTTTAAAATTAATAAAACTCTAATTTAATGATTTGAAAATTAAAAAATAGCAAAACTCAATTCAAATTGTTTTCAATTAAAAATCTTTCTTTTATAATTTTGAATCTGAAATAATTTTTATAAAGAAATTTATATAAATTTTTTAAGATAATTAAATTTCTTGGGAAGAATTGAATTTAAATCTTCAAAGAGAAGTTAATTCTTACAAGAAATTTAATTCAACAGACTTAATTTAAATTCTTATAAAGAGTTTTATAAAAATTTTTGAAAACAATTGAATTTCTGCGAAGAATTTTTAAAATTTTGGAAAATAATTGAATTTTTTCAAATAATCGAATTAAAATTGTATTGAAAATTATTTCAATTCTGATAAAGAATTTAACCAAAATTTTTGCGAAGAATATTATTAAAATTCTTTAAAATAATGAAATTTCTGAGAAAAATCTTATAAATTATGAAAATAATTGAAATCTTGCTAAGAATTTTATTAAATTTTTCCAAAATAGTTGAATTTTTGCCAAAAATTTTATTATTTAGAAAAAGAATTAAATTTTTTTCTCCTCAAAAATTTAACCGAAATTTCTCGAAATTATAAAATTTTGGTGAAGAATTTTATTAAAATTGTTTAAAATAAGTAAATTTTTGAGAACAGTTTTATAAATTATGAAAATAATTGAAATCTTTCTAAGAATTTTATTAAAATTTTCATTTATAATTGAATTCATTTTTTTTTATAAATTATGAAAATAATTGAAATCTTTCTAAAAAATTTATTAAAATTTTCGTTAATAATTGAATTTTTCAAGTAAGGTAATAAAAATTATATTAAGAATTGAATTCTCCTAATGAATTGTATCAGAATTTTTCAAAATAATTGAATTTCACTGAAGAATTTTATAAAATTGTAATATTGAAAATAATTGAATTCTTTTAAAGAATTTAATCAACATTTTTTAATATAATTGAATTTTTGCGAAGAATTTTATGAGATTTTTAAAAATAATTGAATTCTTTTAAGAAATTTTATTGAAATTGTATAGAAAATAATTAAATTCCTGCGAAAAATTTTATTCAAGTTTCTTTTAGAACTATAAATAATTATAATGAATTAGTAAATTTGTTAATAATTGAATTTTTTTAATTTTTTCATTATTTTTTATTCTGTGTGGTAATTTTTTATTATTTTTTATTCTTTACCGTAATTTTTTATTATTTTTGCCTCCTAGCCTCGTGGAAAAAGATTTTTTATTCTGTACAGTAATTTTTTTTTTTTAATTAGTTAGAAATTTTTTTTGTATTTCTTATTAGTCAGATGCTGATTTTCCTGCTTGTGATATATTTTTTGCAAGCTGTTAATAAATGTCTTGTTGCTATTTTCGAATTGGACATTATGTTATTATTTTGAAATATTATTTTAAATTTCAAATATAAATTGATTTTTAAATTCAAGTAGAAATTTACTTTCAAATTAAAGAAGAACTTTATTTTCAAATTCAAATAGAAATTTATTTTCAAATTCAAATAGAAATTTATTTTCAAACTCAAAACGAAATTTATTTTCAAATATCTATTATTATTATTTTATTTTAAGAAGCTAAGAAATAAATTCAAATTAGCAATTTATTAAATGCAGTTTTTTGAATATAAGTTGAAAATAAGTTTTGTTTGCCAAAAATGTCCAATTCTGGCTTTTTTCCCCTATTATTTAATATAAAACATTTATTTTTGAGCTAGTTTTTGATTTTTTTGTTTGTTCGTTTTTTTGCCGTTTTATGTGGCGATTGCGTAGCATTTATTTACAACCTGGAGCTAATCCCTACCATGTAACCAGAATGCACGCTCAATATTCCTCATACAACCCAGTCTCCAGACAGGATTCCGAACTGCAAAGTGTGAGCAGCGATGCTCGCACTGAATCTGACACAATGTCACTTAATGGCTCGTCCATGTAAGTATTCTCTTTTTTTTCAAATTATCGACACAAGAATTTAATTCTTTAATTTGATTTTTCCTAATTTACAACTTCATTTTTTTAAAATGATTTTGTTCTTCTTTTTCCAGTGACGGAATGTCGATAGGTAAATCGTTTGCGAGTAAAAAGCAGTACAGTCGACAACATCGAGCAATGAAGGAGAGTGCATCGAAGAATCGTGATAATTTGGATTCAATGATACCGCGAACACAACGAATGACACGTGACGTGAATCAGCCGCAAGATCCCGAATCGTTTGCACATCGTTTAATACAAAAATTGGAGATTGTTAAACGACAACAGGAGAATGGAGAGAGATTGAGTCGTCATTTACAGGATCCTGAGATGATGTCATTTGGTGAGGTGGACGTTGAATCGAGTGGTGGTCCATTGACAACGGGAAATATTGGCGATAGTCGGGGAATATTTTTCACTGATCAACTTAGACAAAATCTATTTATTGACGATGATAATGATCAGGCTATTCTCGATCAGCATGTGTCGCGTGTCTGGGCTGATTCAACGCCCTCGAGATCGCCGCACGGTTTGGCATCGCCACCGCCACGCTTGCCAGAGAGACGACGTCCCCAACACGCCTATTCACGTTCAAGTAAACAGCGACGGGACAAAGATGTATTCTCAACTTTCTCCATTGACAGTGGTAACATTCACGATTTCCCCGAAGGAAGCGATCTTATCGGCGCTGGTTCCATGAGTTCACTTGGCTCACATTTGCCTAAATCTAAATCCGTACCATCCGATTATGCAGATTCCCTCCATAAACACGATTTCTACTTGCAAGGTAAATTTTTTGCTTCTTGGAAAATTTTATTTTTACAGGGTTGCCACTGGTCAGTGAAATCAAAGAATTCAGAGAAAAGTCAGGGATTTTTATTAAAAGTACTGGAAAAAAATAAATTTTTAGAATTCATAAGAAAATTCTGAATTTTTTGGGTCTTTTTTGTTTGCCTCATAAACTATGAAACCACCACTAATTCTAATACAAAATCTTCAAAAAATTTTTCTATTTCTGACAAGAATGAATTTTTTAATAAATATAAAATTCTTTACAAAATTCAATTCTTTTCATAAATAACAATATTCATCACAAGAATTCAATTATTTTCAAAAGTAATAAAATTCGTCGAAATTCAATTATTTTTAAAAATTTTCATGAATATCTTGCCAAGAATTTAATTATTTTTGCAAATAGAAAAATTTTACGCCAAAAATTCAATTATTTTCAAAAATGTAAATAAAAATCTTTGCAAAATTACAATTATTTTCAAAAGTTTCTCGCAATTCGATAATTTTCAATATTTACTATTTTCATAAAATTTATCAACAGATTTAATTATTGAAAAAAAATTTTTGATACAATTCTACGAAAACATTCAATTATTTTTATAAATATAATAAAAATTCATTTATAGAAATTAAATTTTTATATATTTATATATTTTATTAAAATATAATAATTTTTTTTATATAATTTTATATAATTTATATATTTTTTATATTTAAATTGTATGGAAAGTTCAATTATTTTCAAAAGTTTTTCGCAATTAAATAATTTTCAATATTTACTATTTTCATAAAATTTATCAACAGATTTAATTATTGAAAAAATTTTTGATACAATTCTACAAAGACATTCAATTATTTTCATAAATATAATAAAATTTCATTTATAGGAATTCAATTATTATTAATTATTATATTTAAGTTGTATGAAAAATTCAATTGTTTTCATCAATAACAATATTCATTACAAGAATTCAATTATCTTTGCAAATAGCAAAATTTTTTGCCAAAAATTCAATTATTTGCAAAAATTTAAATAAAAATCTTTGCAAAATTTCAATTATTTTCAAAAGTTTTTCGCAATTCAATAACTTTCAATATTTACTATTTTCATAAAATTTATCAACAGATTTAATTATTGAAAAAAAAATTTTGATACAATTCTACAAAAACATTCAATTATTTTTATAAATAAAATAAAATTTCATTTATAGAAATTCTTTCAATAAAATCAATTATTCTTAGAAATTTTAATAAAATTCTTTTCCAAAATTCAATTATTTTGATAAATATCAAAATTTATCATAAGAATTTAATTCTTTTGAAAAAGTACCTAAATTCTTCTCAGGCATTCAATTTTTTTTAAAAAATTTAATATAATTCTTCAAAAAGTTTTCAATTGTTTTCAAATATTGTTGTAAAATTCTTTAATATAATAAATTTCATTAAAATTTTAATTAAATTCCTTAAAAGAAATTAAATATTTTCAAAAGTTGTTAATACAACGCTTCGTAAAAAAATTAAATTGTAAGAAAAATTCAATTATTGAATAAATTATTTATTTTTGTATTTAAATAATTGAATTCTCGTAGAATTCAATTATTGTTTATCGTACTTTTAACTAAAAATTCTGTAGAATTTATTTTTTTTGGAAAAAGTTTAATTGAATAATAATTTATGTAATTGATTTAAAGAAGATATTTATTTGAAAATTGTAGAAAATAATAATTGAATTGAAATGATGAAAATAATTTTGAAGAAGTTACAAAAACAATACTCTTATAATATATAGTCACTGGGTTATCTTTATGTTTTATAATAATATTTTTATGAGTTATTATATAATAAAGTTAATTTTTTGTGGCAACCCTGTTTTAATTCATTTTTTTCTTGAAAATGAATTCTTTTAATGTATTTTTTTTGGGTAATAAATTTTCGTCACAATGTTACCTTTTGGAAAATAATTTCCATCTTGACGTTTTCTTTCGAAAAATAATTTTCGTCACAATGTTTTCTTTCGAGAAATAATTTTCGCTTTAATGCTTTCTTTTGGAGAATAATTTTCGAAATTTTGTTGTCCAGGTCGTGAGCAAAGAATGAAGAAGGCGGAAATTGCGAGGCGATCGACAACAAAAAAGTCGTTGACTGAATTAACTGACAGTGGAGTCAGTGTCCTTAGTGAGGCATCGTCTCTGCCACGAGATAGGCGTCTTCTTTCCTGGTTGAAGGACTCGGACAAAGGCTCGGACGTCAAGTACGTTAGACAGCAACTCAATCTTTATGGTTCTCGTAGTGGATCTTTGGAGAGATCAAATCAAGACATGCTCGCTCCCGCTCAACCGTTTGTGGCCGATCCTGGAATGCCACCTCTTCCTCAACCGCACACTGTAAGCAAAAATAAATTTTTTTTTACCAAAAATACTTTGTTTTCCTAATTGTAAAATAAAATCCTCATTATAAAATAAATACAAAAATAAAATGAAAACGATTAGATTTGAAAAAATAACACTAGGAAAGAATGGCGGGACAATTTTCTTTATTTTGACTTTGTTTCGAAAATAATTGATTTATTTTTTTCTCTCTAACAGGATACACAACTCGAGGAGGCAAAAAGAAGGTTACTTCCTTTAATGGAAGATGATCGAGGACGAGGTAACAATAGACAGAGATATCCTGGCAATAAACAAGTTTACGAGCAATCGGCGCAAAGTCCGTCGTGCTCATATTCAAATCAATCGACACTAAGAAAAACGAAACAAGAGGAAAAAGATTTTACCACGGTTGTGTTCAATTTCTGTGACGAACAATATCCATACAGAACAAAAATACCAGGACGAAATATAACTTTAAAGCAATTTAAAGAAATTCTCCATAAGAAAGGCAGCTACAGGTAAATTATTGCTTTTTTAAAAAATTAGATTTTAAAAATTATATTTAAAAAATTAGATTTTAAAAATTAGAATCTAAAATTTGCAATCTTTAGATTTAGAAACAATAAATTTCTAAAAATCTAGAATTTTTTAATATTTCAAAGAATAATAAACATAATCTTTAGACTTCCTTAAATAAGCATAATTTTTACATTTTTTTTAGAATAATAAACACAGTTTTTCCTTCTTTTTTTTTGATAATGTTTCATAGAATAATAAAAAAATGTTTCCTCCTACAGGTATTTCTTTAAAACGGAATGCGAAGATTTGGACGTGAAAGTGATTCAGGAGGAGATAACTGACGACGCTGAAATTTTACCACTCTGGGAAGGAAAGATAATGGCCGAGGTAAAATCTCTGGAATAATTTTTGTTTTTCAAAAGAAAAAAGAAAAAGAAGAAGAAAAGAAAAAGACAAGTAACAAACGTTACAAACATTTTTTACTAGTTTAAAAAAAGAAAAACAAACGTGTGTTTCGAAAAGTACTTGAACCATATTTTTTACGATTCAACGAAAAATCATTTTCTATATTTTACGGTATGTAAAGTAAGCAATAGAAAAACGAGGAATCGAAAAAAAATAATATCAGGGTATCTAATTTTCTTTTCCCTTTTTGTGAATAGAATTCATTTTTTGTATACAATTTCTCTCAATTCAAAAAATAATTGTAGATTCTTAGAATGCAATTTACAAGTTCGATCTGAATATATCGGTTGAAGTGTATAAACAAACAAACAAACAAAAAGAAGAGATTTTTTTCTCTTTTCTTTATATTTTACAGAAATTTTTTTAATTGCAAGATAATTTTTTTACACATGGGTAAAATTTTTTAAATGTCTACCCAATTATAAGATATACATAAAATATATATACATATATATATATATATTTGTTAATTTTTTCAAGGAAGCGAAGAATTATTCAAGACTTGACTGTGTAAATAAATGTAATAGTAATTTTCTTAAAGAAAAGAAAGAAATCGATGAGAGACTGATGAGTGAAAATTCGCTCAAAACAGTTTTAAAAGAAAAATCATTAAAAATTTCTTCCTCTCGAAGACTTCCCAATAGTTTTCCAATCGTCTGTACAAAGCGCCTGAGTAGTTTACCGCCTTAATAAGGTCTGCGTAGACCCTAGACTAGAAATAAAAAAAAAAGAGTTTCTATTGTTCAGAGACAGAACAAAAGTCGAAGTCAACAAAAAAAAATCGGCTCTTGTCTAAATCTGTGCAATGGAACTTGAAATTATAGGGAAAAAAAAGTTATTATTACAAATTAGTTTATAAGAATAAAGATATTATGTATATTATATAAATATATATATACATCTGGTTTTTATATATAATATATATGTGGTATATATTATATATAAGGCGAGAGATAATTATTGAAAATAATAAAAAAAAAAATTGTAACTTACGACTCATCGTGCCGCCAATCATCGTTGACATTGTAAAATATAATCATTACATTATACATAAAAGAAACTCGTATTTGATACGAAATAGACTGAAGATACATGAACATGGGATTTGCGTTAGAGAAAAAACAGAGACGAATACCGCGGAGGAGGCATTAGCATTTAGAACGTAACAATGCTTTATCAGGTGCGGAAAATTGTGCCTTTTTAGTGGAGTAAGGTTGAATATTAAGCCTAAATGAATCACAATATGTCAAATTTTTTTTGACTTTGTACTCGAAAAAAAAAAATTGAGGGTCCGTTACCGAGAGGCCAGCCGTGATCGTACATAAATTATTTTTTTTTCTTCCCCTGCTGTCAGTGTACATTGTTTATTAAATACATTTTTAAAATATGTATCAAAAAAAGAAAACTTTAAATTTCCAAATATTTTCCGACAAAAAATTGATTTAGAGAATAAATATTTATTTACATTAGTATTTATTTGAATAAATATTTAAATTAATTAATATTTCTCTGAATAAATATTTGAATTAATATTTCTCTGAATAAATATTTGAATTAATATTTCTCTGAATAAATATTTGAATTAATATTTCTTTGAATAAATATTAAAATTAATATTTCTTTGAATAGTTATTAAAATGAATTAATATTTATCTAAATAAATATTTCCTTCTCTAACGAAAATAATATTTTTATTTATTAGGAAATAAAAAAATTAGGAAACTATTTTATTTCTGAAATTGTCATTAATTTTAAAATTGAATCTACGAACATTAAATAGAAAAAATATTAAATTTATAAACACCAACGAGTATGTAATAAAATATATTCTAGTATTACATGAAATGGAGAAGCAAAGCTACTCTATTTTTCTTTTTTTTAATTTTTATTTAGTTTTTAAGAATGCCTAGAATCTTGGAATTTCGCTGAAACGCATATAGTATGTTATAATGAGAAAGCTTTTTTGAGCGCTATGTAATTATTTATTGTTGGGCGAAACTTTTTTTTTTCTCTCTCTTTTAGTCAAATAAAACGTCGGCAATATTTACAGATTATTCTGTACACTGTATAGGACATTTTTTATTGCTAGTATTCTTTTTTTTAATTTTTTTTTTGAGCGAGTATTTCACGGAAGTCGGCACAATTTCTCAGAGCGGTCTCTCCGTGAATGGTATTTTGTTAAAATCTACGCTGTCACCAATTGTCCGCCTCTTTGAAGTGAAATAATTAATAAATTTATGTAAATTTACAATATAATATTAATGTAATTTTCATTGAAACTTTATTTCGTATTTAAGATTTTTGATAGAAAATTTATCAAAAAAGAAAAAGAAAGAAAATTGATTTTTATTCGATTTGTCACTTCAGGAGGCGGTGCATTGCAAACAATTGATCTTTTTTAATCGTAATTAATTATGATTAATTAATAAAGTGTTCCTGTACCTAATTAATTATTATTATTATTAAAATTATTATTATTATTATTATTATTATTATTAAAATTATTATTGTATATCAAAAAGTATTCAAAATAATAACGCGATTTTCACTGGAATTTGGTTTTTTATTGTCAATCTTTACCCTGAAATGAATTTATTTTATTCATTTTGAAAATGTGATTTTTTGTTAAGATAAATTTTATGTTTTAGAAGGAAAATAAAAATTTGAAACTTCAAAATTTTTATTCAAGTAAATTATATACATATATTCTTCTTGTATATTTTATATTTCCTAAATTAAAAATTTTTCTTTTTAAATGTTTTCAATTTAAAAATTAATTTATTAAAAACCATTGAATTATTGCAAAGAATTTTATCAAAAAAATTGAAAATAATTGGATTCCTTCAAAGAAATTTAATATTTATGAAAATAATTGCATTCTTGCGAAAAATTTTATTAACATTTTTGAAAATCCTAAATAAATTCTTTTGAAGAATTCCATTGAATTTTTTTAAAGTAAATGGAGTTTCTTTAATAATTTTAAATGGAAATTTTGAAAGTAATGGATTTCAAAATAATTTTCTTTTAACTTTTGAAAATGATCGTGTCTTTTAATAATTATAATTACAAAATAATTATAAATATGATTATTGAATTTTATTAAAATTGTTTTGAAAATAATTGCATTCCTGAGTAACATTTTTTTTTTTATAAAAACAATTTAATTCTTGCGAAGAATTTTACTGATTATAAAAATAATTAAATTCTTTCGAAGAATTTATTAAAATTTTAGAAAGTAATTGAATTCTTTTAAAAAATTGTATTAATAATTAAAGAAGATAATTTATAATAATTTATTTTTAATATTTTTAAATAATTTAAAATAATTTGTGAAAATAATTGGATTCTTACAAAGAATTTTACATATTAAAATTTCTGAAAATAATAAACGATAATTTTTTATTGTATGTATTTTGATAAATAAATAAATAATAATTATTTATGTAATTAGTAAGTGAATTTTTCAAATTTTCTATCTAAAATTATATTTAAAAATTGAAGTTTATATTTGAAAATTAAAAAAGATTTGAAATTATTTTCTAAACCTTAAAAAACAATTAGAGTTATTATTCGAATCATTGCAGGCAAAAAATGTAATTATGAAAATGAAAATCAATTTTTATAAATTTTAATTAAAAATACAATTTCAATTTTTATTGCTTTGAAAACGGAAAATTTAAAAATCTCGCTTTTTTGGTTTTGAATATTCATTTTAAAAAAATTTGAATAATGGTTCTTGTTTGTAAAATTATAATTTGAATATTACCTAATTAATTAACATTCAAGAAGTCTAATGAAGACATTACAGATCATTGAGTGGGATTATTATCCTAGAAGAGGCGATATTGAAAAAATTCGTAATTTTCCAAAACGAGGCAATTTATTTGAAATATATGATAATAATTTATTTACTAGAAATATTTATTTACTAGAAATATTTATTTGCTAAAAATATTTATTTTCTAAATATTTATTTACTAAATATTTATTTATTAAATACTTATTTACTAAAAATATTTATTCAGTAAATAATAATTTTTTTTCAATTATCTCAGTAAATTGTAAATAAAATAAAATTATTATAGATAATAATAAAATCTTCAATAAAATATTTTTATTTATTATTATTTAATCAGTCGATAATATTTAATCAAAATCGAATTTTTTTCTTTTAATTAAGAATTCGTGTCAAATTGAAAATACAAATATATAATCTGAATAATTGAATTCTGGACAGATAATAAATTCAGATAATTCCATATTTAAAAAAAAAACGTAATCGTTCAACGTGGACTGTTGCATTTTTTATTAATTGTGCTTGCAAGTAAGTGTTAATTATACTTTAAGCGAAAACATAGTTTTCTTCGATAGACTCAAATAACTCGTTTAACTAGTTTTTCTTTCTTTTTTATTTTCTGTATTTCATTAACATTGGCAGATAACATTGCCATTTCGAGTCAAAAACGAAGAAAAACATTTTTTATTATTCATTTCACATATTTTATTATTTAATAATAATTTGTTTCATTATTTTTGCATTTATACTCGTGACAAATTGAATTCGCTATTTGCTATACTCACTAAATTATAAATTAATTGAATTTTATGGTCGATGAAAAAAATTAGCTTTTATCACCGTTTAATAATTATTCTATGTCGACAATTTTATTATCATTTTAAATTTGTTTTTGTTCTTTTATTTTATCACTAGCACAAATAACGCGCGCTAAAGCGCGCGTGAAGTTTCTTATTTCACTTTTAACATATATAACAATAATGTAATTTTTACATTACATGTCACATGAGAATAAGACTTAAATTTTTATTCCGTTAAGCATGTTATATTTTAAGGTTGACTATTGTTCATAGAAAAGCGTGATTGCCAATGAGACGATAATAGAAGATATGTTTATTACAGTATTTTGACTTATTAATTATCAAAAATAAATTACAATTAATTACTTATTTGTTATTTTGTTTCTAATAGTTTTCTAGTCAAAATTAAATAATATTATTTTCATGTCATTAACATTAAAAAGTTCAATTATTCAGAAGAATTCTACACAAAATCACTATTTTTCTATATTTATTCAGGAAAATCAGAAAAAAGTCAGAGAATTTTGTCAAAAGTGCTGGAATAATATTCAATTTCAAGAATTCATAAGAAAATTCTGAATGTTATTCTTCAGCGTTGAAAAGATTTTATTTATTTCAAACTTTTCCTGTTTTTAACAATAATTAGACTTTAAAGATTTAAAATTTATTTTTTCAAATAATTTAATTATTGAAAAACTGTCGAAAAAAAATTATTTTTTATGAATTATTTTGGAATAATTTTTTATTTAAAAATTAAAGAAATAATTGAATTTTATGAAATTTGTATTTAAAATTTTTTTTATTAAATAATATAAATAAGTAGCAACTGTCACGCCCGCCAAATGAAGTATTTAATTTATAATTATTATTACTCAAAAGAAATAAAATTATCTTGACAAAATTTCAATAAAAAATTCTTCGAAAAATTTATGAAAAATTACAAAAATGTTATCTTTTTAAATTATTGTATAGGTAACAGCTAAACAAACGCGCGCTAAAGCGCACGTGTAGTTTCTCTTAGTATCAATAGATATTGAATTAGTTAAAGTTTTTTGAAATGTTACTTCAGTAATTTACGACAAATTCCTGTTACAAATAACAAAAAAACTAAAAAAAATTTGTGAGCAAAAATTTTGAATGCTTTGCTAACTTTGCACAAAATTAATTTTTGCACAAAATTCATTTTTAAGCCTCCCAATAATAAATTGAATTTTTGAAACTTTATAACTGATTGCATAAATGCAATTATTTTCAAAAGTAATAAAATTTTTCGCAGAAATTCAATTATGTTCAAGAATTTTTTAATATTCTCATCAAAATGTCAATTATTTTTAAAAAATTTAATAAGAAATCTATTATTTACAATATTTTTATAAATTTCTTCGCAATAATTTAATTATTTTTATAAATAATAAAATTTCTTTCAGGAATTAAATTATTTTCATAAATAAAACTCATCGCAGATTTTAAATTATTTTTAATACAATTTTAATCAAATTCATCGAAAAATGTAATTGTTCTTAAAAATTTTATGAAAAATCGTTAAAAAAAAATCAATGATTTAAAAATATTTTGATAAAATTCTTTATGAGACTTCAATTTTAAGAAATTTTAAATATTAAATAAATTATTTATTTTTGCATTTAAATTATTGAATTATCTAATTAAAAATTTATTTCAAAATGAATTTCAGTTAAAGTTTTACATAATAATTGATTATTATAGGCATTATTATAGCATGAATTTTAAGAAATAATTAAATTTTAAAATGGTTTCAAATCAAATTCTTTAAAAATTTGTATTTTTCATACTTATAACTAACAATTCTGTAAAATTAATTATTTTAAAAAAGTTTAATTGAATTTTTTTCTGAAATTATTTGAAGTATTTATTTTTTAATTCGTATTTTTAGTTGAAGAATTTCTGAATAATTTAAATTTCGTAAACAAATGGATTTTAAAACTCTCAAAGAACTTTTTTCAAAAATTATTAAAAATAATTTATTCCTGTGCGAAAATAATAATGATTAAAATTTATTTAGAAAAGAAGTTATTGATGTTTTCAAATAATTTCAGAAATTGGTAAATAAATGTAATAGAACATTTTTTGAGTGTCTAATCATTTTTAGAGTGTATCAGAATTTTCTTTAGGGTTAGGGAAGAAGTCAAAATTTTGTCAAGTAATTAAGTTTTTCATATAAAAAAAAAGAAAATATTTTGCAGGATTTATTTTTTAGAAACAAAGGAAATAATGAATAATATAATAATATTAATAATTTTTTTAAATTAATAAAAATATTTTTGAATTATTTGAGAAATAAAAATAATATTATTAAATTAAAAAATTAGTGAAAAAATAATGACGTATAATATTATCTATCAGAATATATCAAAAAAACAAAAGCATGCACAATAGTCTAACTTCAAGTGTGGACAGACTGGACAGAATACGACGATTATTATAGTTAAAATAATAATGAATAATAATTAATAATAATTTTTGTTTTGTATTTAATTTTTTTATTTATATTTATATTTTTTATTTTATTTTTTTTTTGTTTAATTATTTTCCAACGTGACGAATTTCTGTCACGTGGTGACGTTTCGTTCGTGATGATAAAAAAAAATGTTATGACTTTAATATTGGGCAACGAGACAATAGGTAATTGAATTAATGTTTTAATGAAAAAATGGAAGACTTTCCCAAAATTGAAAAAGAAATATACATTTTGAAAAGTAAAGCGTTTAATAGCTCTTAAATGATATTTGATAATAATGCAATCTTGACTTATCAATTTTGGAATGCCTTTGGCTTTAATATTTAACAGCACGTGACACAATACAATTGGGTTCATTTGATCTTTGTGCCCTTCTTAACATTGCCGCTTCTTTAAACTGGTTGATATCTTGAAAGTCTCATCACGTGCTTTCTGTTGACAGTTTCAAGAAACGCTACTCGATTCACAATTTATTCACTCCCATTTCTAGTTTTCATTTTTCTCTTAATTGTCTTAATTTTCTTGTTATAGATTTCATTCTTTTTTTTTAAATTTTCAATTTATTAACACCGCATGACTTTGATTAAAAAAAAATTGATAGTATTTTTATAAATTTAAAATTGTAGAATTTTACCTAAACGGAATCAATTTTTTTTCTATTTTTTTCTCTATTTGTTCTTCAATATTGAATTCAAATAATTTTTTTTTGATTCGATCCTTTTCTTTCAAGATCCTCAGTAAAGTTTTCACGTACCATTTGAAATTGAGATGCGAAAGAAAAGTAAAAATAAAAAATTTATTACACCCAGAGAAAAAAGTTATTTATTTTAACTAAAAGTGTATATTTAAGAAAAATTTATTTGTTGCAAATAAATATTTTATTTAAAATAAATAAACTAATATTTATTTCAAATAAATGCACTAATTAATCTAAAATAAAGAAATATATTTGCAATTTATGAAATAGTATATTTGTAGCAAATAAAAAATATATTTGATTCAAATAAATGTTTGTTTGACTTATAAGTAGACGCCTGCGCATATTGCATTGCTATAGTAAAACAATAAGATGTTTTGCTTTTAACAGTTTAACGCGTACAATTATAAGAGGTTTATTCATCATGAATAGTTAACAAATTTAATTGATTTAAGTACAGAATTTTTCTTTTTAAGTGAAAATTTTAATTAGTACAAAGTAACAGATTTGTATGTGATTTCATTTACATTTTAGTGTCTTATTTGAGATTTTGTGAGAAAAATGTGACAGTGGACTTTTACATATGAAGTGAAAAAGTAAAGTAAAATGACTAACAATAAAAAAACCTGACTTTATTTAACAAATATTCTTATAAAAATAAACATTTATTTTAATGAATATTAAAAGTTCCATTAGTGATTGTGATTGTTAAATTTATTTGAAGGTTATAAGTGAATTTTAATATTTTAGAATGCTTACAGGATTTATTAAAATGAAAAGTGTTTTTTATTTGTTCTAAATATAAAATATATTTAAAGAAAATATAAAATTTTTTTCATTTAAATAAAAATGGATATTTAAACGAAATATATTAATTCAAATAAAAAATATTATTTGAGCTAAATAAAAGTTTAGTTGGTTCTGTGACAAATATCCTTTTTTATTTGTTTGAAATAAATTTTATTTAATTCAAATAAATCATTTCTCTAGGTGTACGAGTTGCGTGAGTTGCATTCGACGCGACAGGTATAAAATTGGAACAAAATGTGCAAACGTTGGTGTGCCACTTTTTAATTTGACAGAAAGAATAACGTGCGAATGGTAACGTCCTTTTAAAAAGTCATGTGCTTTTCATCGACATCAAAAATTTGTTATAATTGTCAGTTAACATGTTTATAAGTACCTTATATGTCCTCAAGTCATGTGCTTCTGATGAATGAACGAAGCGAAATTAATTTATTATTGTTCCTAGTAGAAAGTAAACATTGAATTAACGTCAAGTGATCGCACGTATATACAAAATAATCTCTCACATGACTCTCTAAATATAAAATGAATAAATATTTTTCAAAATTCAACGAAAAATATATTTTATTCACATTTCCACAAAAATTCATCGATTGCACCTGCACAAAAACAAACAAAGGTATTTATTATTATAAAATTCATTTCCTCTATTTAATGTATTTTTCTATAAATATCAACATTTACGGAGAAGAAATATAAAAAAATTTAGAAAAAGAAAAAAAAAGGTTTAAACAATTATTATTTGTAATTATTTACGGTCAGTTGTTTTCAGTACTTTTTTTTTTTGTTGAAACCAAACGACAATGAATTTTTTTCAATAAGAATAAGAAAATATAAAATATTGATATTTTAATTACGTAAAAATAATTTGAAAAATATTTTTTTTTGAGGAATTTTACCTGATTTTTTTTTCCTCAATTTAGAATTTTTCCCGATGAATAATTAATATTCCTTTTCTGAAAATGTATTAGAATATATTGAACACGTGACAGTTAGAAAGGTTGACTTGGATTTTCCTGGTTCAAGGAACTGAGTTACCTCCTTTGCATGTGAAATGTTTTTAAAATCATGTGATTTTCTACTTTTCCTAATCATGTGATTTCTGTGTGTTAAGAAAAAAAAATAAAAAGGAAATTCTATATATGAATCCACGTCATATTATCCAATGTTTTCTCCTGTTTGATAGTAGTTAATATTTCCTTCTCCGAAATCTGAAAAAAGATTAAACTACAATAAATTCTATTTATTCATTGGAACTATAAATGCAGTCATAGAAAAATAGAAGGAAATTAAATTGTTTGACAAAATTATTTTTAAATAGTAGAAAATAAAGAGAAAATTCATTTTTCTGTAAAATAATTTTTATAGATAGTCCAAAATTAGAAGGAAATTAAATTGTTCGCTAAAATAATTTTTAAATAGGTGAAAATAAAGAGAAAATTAATTTTTCTGTAAAATAATCTTTAAATATCATGAGATGGTAATGGGTTTTTTCCGTTCAAAATTAGAAGAAAATTAATTTTCATTAATTATTAAATAGGACAACATTTTGAAAAAAATTAATTTTTCCGTATAATTATTTTTTAACAGTACAAAATTAAGAGAAAATTACATTTTTCGTTAAATAATTTTTAAAATTCGTCAAAATTAAAAGAAAATTAATTCTTCCTGTAAAATTAATTCCAATTTGAACAAAATTAAAAAAAAAATAATTTTTCCAGAAAATAATTTCGAAATAGTACAAAACGTACAAAATTAAACAAACTTTAAAGAAAATTAATTTTTCCATGAGAAATAATGTTTAAATAGTAAAAAAAATTAACAGAAAAATTGTATTAATTTTCGATTAAAAGTATTATATAATAATTTTCAAATAATACACAAACAGAATTCGAAAAAGGACAAAAATTGTAATTTTAAATTATATTTGAATTTTTAATTTTTATTTGCGAAAATGTAAAAAAAAAAAATTTTTTTTTCCTTCATTCCTGAATTGAATTTTTGAGAAAAAAAATTATTTTCCAATTATAATTACACCTAACATGGAAGTACCTGTCATGTAAATTATTAAAAACGAAAAGTGGTTTAATTAACTTGGAGATTTAAAGATAAAGACAGAGCATAAGTGGCTGTGTAAGAATGACAATTCATTACATATATTTCTGTTTGTAACTACTTGCGCTTATGAACTTATGTGTTGAATGATTCATTGTTTATGTTCATCCACCTTTTGTTATCTCACCTGCGAGACTTTATAACAAATGCAAACAAAACCAAAAAAAAAAAGGAATCAAGTTTATTATTATTTTCTTTTTTTTTTTGTTAATTTCAGTAAATAATAAACGAAAATTCTTTTTATGAATAAAGCAAATAGACTTGTTTTTCTTCATGACAGTAAAAATGTAACTTTTTTTTTTTTTTTTAAAGTGTTATTAAAAAGATAGATATCGTTCTGTTTGATTATTTGATGAGGCATTTTCGAATTTTCTAGAATATAAATTTTTGTTAACAATACGTTGAGTCGTTAATTATATTCATTATGCAATATATCACTTTCCAATTATATTGACATATATTTATAATACATCCAAATTATTTTCAAATAATTTTTTGAAATTATTGTCTAAAATCATTGTTTCCATTTATTGTCTAAAATATTACTTTTTCAAATTATTTCCTCCAAACTTGTATTTGCAAATTATTAACTAAAAAATTATGTTTTGCAAATTATTTACTAAAATTATTTTTTCGAATTATATTTGCAAATTATTTTTTTTATTATCAAAAAATTATTCCAAAGATTAATTATTCCTCATTTTGTTTGTATTGTGTGTGAGAGGATATTTAAATATTCTATTCTCTGGTGGAAAAAAATCATCTTTTTTAATTTGTAAGCTTTACAAGAATGTATTGAATTCCAAATGTTTTAGTCATTCCTTAAAATGAAGATAAAATTTTTTTAATGCATTTATCAGATGATGATAGTTCGCAGACAGGAAGTTAATTAAATCCATTGAAGAAGTATGCATTCGGAGTAAAGAGTGAAAAAAAAAAACTATATTTACGAGTTGGGATTTCCTTTTAAATCTTGTTTTTATATAAACAGTTTTGTAAATGATATTTCTTTTTGTTTTTTAATATAATACAATACTTATAATTGTAAATCTCTCACCGAAAGATGTTGTGAAGAGGGGGAAAAGACAAGTTTTATTTTATAATTTCTTCTCTTATATTTTTAAAGGTAAAAATTAATATATATGAGAAAGAGAAACAAAGTCAAGTCCAATTAATAAAGTTTATGTCAAAAATAGAAAAAATAAATTTAATATTGAAAAGTAAAATTTAATTCGAGAAGAAAAGGGAGAATTGAAAATTCAAAAAATTCGCTTAGAATTTTTAGTGATTTAAGAAGATTAATAAAAGATTTTTAATCTGAAGAAGATTAAAAATTAATTACATAATTAAAATTTAATTGTCAGGGACAATTTATCAAAAATTTGATTACAAAAATTTTTTTTTTCTAAATTGGAGCATTTTTGATGGAACTATTTGTTAATTATAGAGTTTGAGTAAAAAAAGAAAATTGAATGAATTTCATCCAAGTAAGGCACACACGAGTCGTCGTCCTGATTGGCGTATTCGCCGATGACGACAACATGTGGGGGTTGCCCAGAGTGATTTGTACACGGGAGAGAATCAAGATGATAGGAAAATACTGGCGAAACCTGCTGCTCGGTACCATTTATATGGCAAGCTGCACACCCGCGTCAACTCAGTCGTTGTGTTCATTTTGCAGTTTGAAAAATTGAGCATTAAACACAAAATTTTTAACTTCTTCCTTCATCATTGTTTTTTAGTCCTTAGGATTATTGAATTTTTTTTCCATTTTGTTCTCTTCTTCTTCTTCTTAAAAAAAAAAAAAAAAAACCGAGTTGATTCTTTTCGTCTCTGGAAAAAAAAATAATAATCGGCGTTTGTATATAAACTTTGTGCGTGAATGTCGATACAAGTTTTTTCGTCAAGTGCGACTAATACGGAATCGCTTCGCAGAGCGATTCTTCTTTCTTCACTGTGGGATTTTTATTTTCATTAATTTCTTTGATTTTTTTTTTGTTTTTAATTGCCACGAAGAGAGACTAGAAAATGTTTAAAAAGTGGAGAAGATAAAGAGCGAGAAGAGACTTAGAAAAAGGAGACAATATTATTTCGAAAAAATTGTCAATTTTTGCAAAAAAAAGAGAGAAAATTAGGTGAGTGATTGATTTTTAACAAAAATAATTTTAATTCACTATTTTCAATTTTTTTTCATTTTAAATTTTCGTTTTTTAGTGTTTTATTAGTTTTTTTTAGTTTTATTTTAGTTTTTTTAAAATTTTATTTTAGTTTTATAAATAGTATTATAAATATAGAAGATAATTTATCAGACTATTTGATATTATTAAACAATTTTTCCATTCGATCTTTATTATTGTGTCTGTTGAGAAAATTGATAATTGATAACAAAAACAAAATAATATTCCTTTTAATTTCTATTAATTTTTTTTGTCTGTATTTTTCTGTTCTAAATTTATTTTCTTCTCATAAATGATAATAGTGAGTAAAATTTAGAGAATTTTCTTTTCGATTGTTGTAAAAATTTTTGTAAATGACTTTTTTTCAAAGATATTATTTCCTTTTGCGAGTCACATCACTAATCAAGGCTTTTGTCTCAATAAGAGTTAGTCATAAAAAAAACTCGTTCTAGTTCCGGCCATTCACCCATTACCTAATTATTGTTTACTATTATTCATTATTACTGCAAAAGTCAATAAATAATTTAATTTTCTACAGAAATTAATACAATTCGGTAATTAATTTTTTTATACTTCTGAAATTCATTTTCTATACTTCAATATTTATTTTTCTATTTAAACATTAATTGTTAATAATTTGTTTGTATTTTCCAGTTTTTCCTGGAATTATTCACTTAGTTTTAATTTTCACCTTAAAGTTTTTATTAATTGTTAACAATTAATTTTTAATAATAAATTTTTAACAATTAGTTTTTAAGAGTTACTTGTTAACAATTTTTTTTATTTTTTTAGTCTTTAGTAATAAGTTTGTTAATTATTTTTTTAGTAATAAATTGTTAACAATTAGTTTTTGATGATAAATTGTTAACAATTAGTTTTTAGTAATAAATTGTTAACAATTGTTAAAAAAAAATTAATTAAATTAAAAAATAATTGTTATAAAACTAATTAGGTTTTAATAATAAATTGTTAACAATCGGCGTTTAATAATCAATTGTTAAAAATGAATATTTGAAATGATTAATTATTGAATAAAAAAAATGTTTTCTATTCAGTAAATTCAAAAATAAAAATTAAAAATAAAATTAATTAGTAATCGAAACATTTTTTCCGTGATCGTTTATCAGTTAATTTTCATATTCGAGATGTAACCTATTTATAAAACTATGTTTTTAATCACAATATTAATGTAAAATTCAAATATTGTCTTGATTAAGATAATGAAATTCTTTATCAAGAAAACATTGGAATATGCCACTTAGTTTGAAAAGACAAATACTTAATTGTTTTTTATAAAGGTACTTAATCGATATCGTCTAAAAGAAATTAAAGTTCGTAAATGTAAATAATTTTCGTTTTCATTAAAAAGCACTCAATTCGAATTTCAATGTGGAAAATTTTGACTCTTTTAAAATTAGGTAAAAGTAATTAAATTGTTATTATAATGACGTAAAATAAATTTCTTTTAACAAATTTAATTTTTAATTTAATTTTTAATTTAATTTTTAATTTCATTTTTTCATCATAAAAAAGGAACCAAGTAGAAAATTTCTATCGTAATACAGAATTTAATGATCTTATTCTTTTAAGATTGACAATAAATCACGGTAAATTAAAAATGTATGAGAGTCTTATCACAACGCATAAAAAAACTATTTCTAATTATTTTTCTTTTAATAAAAAAAATTGTTTGCTATCAATTTTTAACTAATGTTTTTTCAATTTGTTCTTGATTTGCATGAACTGGTTAATTCCATAATTTCTGCGTTCGAATAAAAATAATATCGTTAGGTATAATAATCGAATATATAATATACGTACAAATAATCGAACGTATAAAAATCGTACAAAGAAATAATCATACGTATAACAATCGTATATTAATTAAATAATATTTTAGAATTTTTATATCTGAGTTTATAATTTACACTTTTTATAATTTAAGTTAATAATTAATAATTTTAGTTTTTAATTTATATAATTTCAGTTTATAATTTTTACAAATTTAAAAATTATAAATTTGAAACTAAAAATGATTCAAGCAAATTTGTAAATTTTATAAAAATCGTAATTTTTATAATTCAAGTTTATAATTCACTATTTATCTAATTGAAGTTTATAATTAAAAATTTTTCTAATTTATTTAGTAAATTATTTATTTATTTTTTTTAAGATTTAAGTTTAAAATTTATTATTAAAAATAAAAAAATAATTTTAAACTTAAAATAATAATTATAGTAATTATTTTACAGTATTAAAATTGAAAATATAATTTTTACAATATTATTTAAATTTAAATAATCGCCTTCATTGCTCGAGTCTCTATTATATGTCTGACTAAACACGTACCCCAATCACTTATTTAATGACGATTGCATTTATTTTTTTTTCATTTTACCTTCAACTAAAATAAATTGAATATAATAAATTAAAATAATTTTCTAACAAAATAATTTATATCTTCGATAATTTCGATTATTTAAAACAATTTTTTCTTTCTTTTAATTGTGATTTAAATTTTCCCATTTAAATAAATTAATTAATTAAATTTCTTTTTTCCCTTATTAATTAGGAGAATATGTTTTTCCTAAATAGTTGAATATATTTTTCCCCTTATTGAATAGGGGAATATATTTTTTCCCTTATTAATTAGAGGAATATATTTTTCCATTAAATGGTTAATTAGCCATAAACCGTTGATTACTAACATTAATTATTAATATTAACCTTTCGATCATACATTTTCGATGACACTTTTCATTAATTATTTCACTATCTAATTTATCGAAGTTATTTCCTAAAATAAATTAACATTTGATAAAATATTTTACGTAATTTTTTTTTGAACATTTCTATCAATTATCTATCAATTAGAATTATTGATCCACTCAATTATTGAACACAGTTTTTTTAATTGAAATTTGACTTTTGCGAAAAAAAAATGCGATGGAGATTTTTAATTATTGTAAATAAACGTCTCAGTCGAAACGAATACGAATAGTCATTCGTTTGATTTATATTCAGAATCATCGAGCTTTGGTTGAAATTAGTACAAGTGGATACGATTGGTTGGCGTCATAGTTATATTGATTGACTTATTGATAAATATCATGTGCTTGGATCCTTTTGTGATTTTATATTTTTTTCTTTATGTAAATTTGAAAAAAAAATAAGTATTTTAATTTTTGTAGGTTTAATTTACAGTTTTATATCATTTCTTTCTATTTATAAATAAATTAATTAATTTCTTTGTATTTATAAATAAAAATAAACAAATTATTATTTATTACTATTATTTTTTATTTATATATTTTTGTAATTTTGATTTTTCTTTTTAATTCTATTTTTAACTCTATTTTTCAAATTATATTTTTACAGTTTAGAATTTAGAATTTTTTGCGACTATTTTTTTGATTAAAGAAACAATAATTTAGAATATTCTAATTGACTCGAATTTAGTGCTTCAGATAAATTATTAAAAATTAAATTTTTATATAGTGTAGTAAAATTTTTAATTCTATTTTTTAAATTATTTTTTTAGTTTAGAATTTTTTGCGACTATTTTTTTTATTAAAGAAACAATTATTTAGAATATTCCACTTGACTCGAATTATAAGTGCTTTTACTTAAATTATTAGAAATTAATGAATTACCTTTTTATAATAGTGAGAAAAAAAAAATATTATCCCTTTTTATCATTCACATGACTTATCGAAATTCGTATGTGACACGTTGCGCGTGTAAGATGGTATTGATCGTCCTTTTTGCGATAAAATGTAAAAGTTATGAAACGGTTTTGCAATCTTACATAAAATAGATACTGGGGCCATTTTAATACCCGCAAACGAATACTCACGTAACATCTGGTACATAGATACAAAAGATATATGCATATTTGTCTATTGCTCCAAGTGTTATGCACGTTTTCACTCCTCCTTTGTTTTGTCTTCAAAAATTCTCCATTTCCGATTTGTCAGTTCTCAATTGCTCTAAGGCTCCCACCTAAAAAAAAGAAATTCGAAATATTATCAGTCTTACTAATTTGTTTCCCAATTATCAATTTTGTCAACACATTACTTATAAGAAAATAATAATACAATAATAAAAATATATTTTTGATAAAAAAGAAATTATTAAATTCATCCTAAATTTAAATAAAAAAGAAATATTTAAATTTTGTAAAAAAATTCCTTTCGTAGAAAAATTTTTATCACAGGACATAATTTTTACCTTAAGGAATTTTTAAAAGTAATTTTATATTTAAATTTTGAAAATAAATGAAAAAGAATGTAAAAAAATTTATTTTCTATTCTTTCTGTTTGCAATTGTAAATAATTGCCGAGACTTAAAATTGGAGATAATAAAATATTAAATTTAATATGATGATAATTCTCGGTATGTCAATTATATGGATGATTATTAAAACTTGTTGTCTAGAGGTGGGTCATGTGATTTAGCATGTGATTTTCAAAAAAACAGGTATTTTTTCCGGTCACATGTGTCTCAAGGCTTACACACCTGTAGAGAATGTTGATTAAAATGATATATTTCTCACATGACTTGGTCACGAGACCAATTCTGAATGTACACACGCACAATTAAGTAAACTCGCACTTATATCCGTGTGAGCACGTGCTCTTGTTTACGAGGCAAGATAACATTTTATAACTCGAGTTGACAAATGCTAACAATCATATTAAAGCTGAAAATAAATATTAATTTATATCAATAATTATTATTCCCTCACACACACACACACACACACACGAAGAATATTTTGCAAAATTTATCATCACGCTCTCAAAACTTTTTCTTTTCAATACAATAATCTTCTCATCTTTTTAATTTTCCTTTTCAATTTTTTTTGTTTTGTAAATTTTATTTTTTCAATTTTTATTCTGTTAATTTTTATTCTGGAAATTTTATTCTGGAAATTTTCTTTTGTAAATTCTGTTTTGTAAATTTCATTTAACAGAATAAAATTTATAAAATTAAAATTTAAAAAAGAAAAATTGAAATAAAATTTACGAAATAAATTTCGTAAATTTTATTCTGTCAATTTTTTTTTATTTCGTCAGTTTATTTTATTTCCGACAAACTTTTATTGAGGCAAACGAAAAATTTTATCGCACTTAGCCACATGTGCAAACTTTTAAGAGAGAATTTACTTGGAAATCCATCTCAGTGTTAATTTTTTCGCCTGAATACATAATTGCAATTTTTTTCTCTCCTCATTATAATTTTAATTTCTTGAATCAATTTATTGTATTCTCGTAATTAGCAGTTATTGAATTTATTAACAGATTTTTCATTTATTTGAATTCAAATTTTTTTGAAAACAGAATTTTTTTTCGTGACATCAGGAAAGAAATTCTTTAATGATTCCAAAATCCAAATTAATAGTAAATTAATAAATAGTCTGAAATTAAATTTAAATTCTAAATTAATTACTTAACTAAAATAAATCATTTAAATTCTAAAAACTAAATATTAGTCGGTAATTATTAATATTGAATTTATTAAAATTTTTGGAATTTCAAAAGTAAACATAATTTCGAAAATTCGAAACATCGAAATTAAAAATGTGCTTTGATTAGTTAACTCAGTGAAAGTTTGCAAAAAATTCTAAATTAAAAGGAATTTAATTTTTTAAAAATATGGAAAAAAATTAACAATTTTATTTGCTTAGTCAATATGTTTATAAAAATTCAAAGGTGTATTGAGCCGGTTATGACTTAAAGTGATAAGAGTGTTCCTCAAGGATATAAGGCAAGCTCGTGGATACATATTGATGACTTGAGTCCATTTGCAATAAAAAGCGATTTTAAAATTGACAAATAGTGTAAATTTTTTGTTCTACATTGTGAAAAACTTCCAAGATCTGTGATACAGTATTTCTTATTTTTTTGCAATTTACACAAATCCGCTTGCATATATGTCTGGATAAAAATGTTTATTTATGAAATTTACGAACTACATTTTTATTCCCACTTTATATATAGTAAAGTGATTAATATATAATCGTGTAAGGGAACGTGATACAATAATGTTATGCAATAATTAGTGATCTAAGTGATGACAATTTATTCCGTACATTCGTAAAGTTTTTTTCTTGCTTTCTGTTTAACCACTTTTAAATGAGTGCTTTAGTTTAAACAAAACAAAACAAAAAATAATTATAAAAAATAATTCTATTGCGCAAATTCAACTTCCGGAGAGAATTAGTTTTATCTTCCCGATTTTAATTGATCTTCACAGTAATTAAGATTGTATAATCTAACATATATGAATTGATGTTTGCAATTTGTATACCATTTTTTCTTTAGTCTTATTCTTTTTTTATTTTATTCAAATTTTCTTTTTATTATTATTTTTATTATTTTTATTATTATTATTTTTATTTTTATTATCCTTTCTTCTTTTTATTTATATTTTGATATCTATAAAATTTTTATTCTCTATTATTTGTCTTGAACTGGTTTTTGTTGAAATTTTTTACAACTCAATATAACAAAGGAATAATATTTTATTGTTGTAAAATAATTTTACATAATACTTTTTTTTATATTTGCTTTCGTTTTTTATCTTGTTTTCTGTTAAATATATTTCCCTTGTCCACTTTTATTGCAAATGGAATAATTTTTGAGTAATGAAAAAATTGCTATGATTAATTTAATAAATTTAGATGTTTCGATGAATTCAGAATTTTTGAATTTTTTCGGAGAGAATTTTTGATGTAATTTTTATATGTACCTCTCTTTTTTCAGAATGAAGGGAGTCGACATTGTAAGTGATGAGAAAATGGGAAGAATCGGTGGAGCATATATAAATCATGCGCTAAGTGGTTCTGGTGGAAGTCTAAATCTCATGCAAGCAAATGGCTCCTCTCAAAAACTTCAGAATTCACATAAAGTTCATCCTGAGATACAGGGATCATCCGACTTCATCTGTAAGTTCCTTTTTCGTCTTAAAACACAGTTTCCTGAAAAAAAGAGAAATTTTAATTATATCTGAATTTGCAGAAAGAATTTTTTTTCTATTGAAACTTAATTTATTTGTTTCGATATTATTTTTGTTTTATTTTAAACAATTAATAAAGTTATTTATTATTTCTTTCTAATTGTATATTATTATTGTTGTCCTTGGATTTAAAATGATAATATACATTTAAATTGAAAAATTATTAAAAACAATTTTTTTTATCCGTTTTCCTTGTTCTTTGCGGAAAATAAAATTATTTTGAAAGAAATTTAGGAATTTATTTCATGAGATTTTTCTCCACTAATAGAAAAATGACAATGCTTTTTCTTGAAAATGAAATATTTTTCTTTGTTTTTTTTCTCCAAAAAAAAAAAATTAATAAATTAATTTCTATTGATTATTTTCACTATTTTCAATCCAAATTCTCAAAAATCAAGATTAAAAATCATAATTTTAAATTTATTTATAAAAAATTAATCACAAAAAAAATTAAATCAGAGCGTAAAGTAAAATTGATTAAAAACTAAAATTAACTTTACGCTTAATAATGGTCATAAATAACATTGATTTCTGTCACATGCCACGAGGATGCCACAATAGTAAGTAATTCCAAAAATGTCAAATTTATTAAATTATCTTTTTATCATTCTTTTTTCTCATTGTTTACGAGGCAGTAAAAAGTCAAGTATAAACAGACTTGTGTGACATTGGCCTCTATATACATACAAAATGCATTTATCTCAAGAATAGGTTGACAGATTTTAAAAAACAGTAAATTTATTAATATACAGAATTGCAATAATTTATTTAAACGAAAAAAATTTTATTTTTCGAAAAAATTCTCACTTTGTATAGAAAATTTTCAAGAGCATAAGTAATTTTACTTCTAATAATTTACAGGCTCATAAACAATAGATTTTCCCTTATTCTTTGTTATTGAAAGAGAATTGATAATCATGTATCAATTTCGTTGTCGGAAACTCAACAAAAATTGAACAAAAATATGTCGCCATTATATAATGTCAAGGTTGACAACGTGATGTAAATAAATTATTATTATCATTTTTTTAATATTTATTACTATTATTTTCTATTTAATTTTCTATTTTTACGCATAAATTTTATATTTCTACATATTCATATTTGTTTATTAAATAAATTTGAAAGTACATTAGAAAAAAAAATTTCTAGGTATGATAAAAAAAATTTTTTAGTTCCATAAAAAAAAAATAGTTATTCCGAATCTAATTGAAATAGAGTTAAGTCATTGTAATTGAGCGGAATAATAATTTACCAAGCACGCGGAGTCTAGTTGTCTGCATCACTTCAAATTGAATTTTTAAAATAGAATTTTATTTATACTGGAAAATAAGTTGAATTATAATGTTAAATATATTCATGAAATTGTTTTTCTTCACTTTCCTAGAAAATTTTTCTCCGTTAATTTTAATTTTTCACTATTTCTGAAATAACTTACAAGTAAATTTAAATATTTAAATGCTCCCGTGCAGGAAATTAAATTAATTTACTTTTAATTATTACTATCAACAATTTAATGATTTAAATGACGATTTATATTTTTATAAAAATAAAAATACTATCCATATGGAAATAATAAAAAAATAGCGATAATAACAAAAATAGTAAAAATAATAATAGTAATAGTAATAATAATATAGTAATAATTTTAAAAAATTAAGAATTATTATTTTTATTCAATAATAACAAAAATAATAGTAAAATTAATAAAATGATAATAATCAAAAGTATAGAAATAATATCTAATTATAATATTTGTAATAAATAAAAATAAAAAATATCAATACCTATAAGTAAAAATTTGTTTTTCAAGTGGTGGAAGAGCCCGGAGATGACGAGGGCAACCAAAAGAATAGTATCTGCAAATCAGTGGCAGAATTGGCGAAAAGACGTGCACGAGCGATTTGCACGAAAAAAACTCTATACAAAAGATTACCAATTTTGCGATGGTTACCGAGGTACAATGCACAAGATGCGCTTGGTGACCTCGTGGCAGGAATCACAGTCGGTTTGACTGTGATTCCCCAATCTCTGGCATATTCGCGTGTCGCGGGATTGCCAGCTCAGGTAATATTACAAATTACATAATATTTACTTCACATCTGCAAAAAGAAAGAAAAGAAAAAGAACAATAATGATTTAACATGAAAAGCGTCTTTAAGTCTTTGGAAAAAAAAAATTTTTTTTTCCTTCTAAACAACATTTTTTGCGCATTTTTTTCAATTCCATACTATTTTTGATTTAATTAATCACTTTCTTAATTCTATGAATTTGAATTTAATTAATCATTTTTTACATTTTTAAATTTAATTTAATTCCTACAGTGGAGTTTAGTAAACAAAACTAATTTATCACTATTCGGATTGTTAATGATATTAATATTAATTAATTACTAAATTACAACGTAAAGGAGAATGCCGGAAGGTCGTTCAAAGCCAAAAGGCATGAACTATGTATAATAAATAATATTAATTAATAATTTTCATATTTTTGAAATTAATTTAATTCCTCTAGAGGATTTTAATAAAAACAAAAATAATTTATCACTATTCCGATATTATTGATGATAATCTAATATAATTTTCACATTCTTCAATTTAATTTAATTCCTCCAGAGGATTTTAATAAAAGAAAATAATTTATCACCATTCGGATTATTAATAATAATAATAATTAGTATAATTTTCATATTTTTCAATTTAATTTAATTCCTCCCGAAGATTTTAATAAACGATAGTAATAAGTATAATTAATTATTATAATTAATAAATATAAGTTAAAATTCATTTGTCTAATTAAATTGGCGAGAATAGAAATAAAATAATATAAATTCTATATTTTGAAAAATATAATTTATATGAAGTTATTTTTCGTATTTGTGAAGCCTATTGTAAATAGTTTCCGAAAAAGGAAAGTTTTTTTTTTAAAAGAGCTTTGTTTATATAGAACTGTTTCGAAAATAGTTCCGTCTTTCAAGTTTAATGATTCTTTAATTAGTGTTGCAAAACAAAGTTAAATATTTAATGAGTCATGATTATTCGTTTGATGATATATTTATAGTGAGTGGAACAATTAACAGTTCAATTCAGTTAAAAGTAAGAAGGCAATAAATTTTTTAAATTCGCAAATAATGTCGCGTAATTCCTTTTTTTTTTTTTTTGTTATTTCAAACAAAATCTACAGTGAATTATGACTATAATAAAAGTTGAATAATACAGATATGGATCTTTCGTTTTTCAGCAATAATTTGATAACTAGCAACATATACCTCACTCGCTAACGCTCGTTCGGTTGTATTTAAACTTATTAGTTTTTACTTATTTTTTTTTTTTTATTTGAACTAAGTAAATATTTACTGGACATAAATATTTTAATTTATGGTATCTATTAAATAGTTATTTGAACCAAATACAAATTACTTAAGTCAATTAAATAGAATAATTTAATTTAATAAATATTGCTTTAAATCAATTATAAAAATTACTTGATTAAATAATGCATAGTTTTTAATTAAAATAAATATTTATTTGCATCAATAAAATAATTTTTTTGAAATAACTAAACTTAGAAGGTTAGATTTTGAATGTTAGCCTGATTCTCTGAATAATTGAGACGCCTGTTTATCCCCGTTTATGCAAATGCTCTAATAGTCATTTGATCTAATTTAAAGGTTATAAATATTCAAATGATCTAAAGAACATTGAATATAATGTGATTTTATATAAAAGTCTAATTAATAAAATGAGTTTATTCTATAATTTATTTTTAAGCCAATAATCAAAATATCCAATTCGCATTTTCTATAATCATAAGCAATTATAAAATTTTTTCACGCAAACTTTCAACTGATAAAATAGTTGTATAAGCCAAAGTTTATTTTTTATAATTTTATAATAACCTAATTTTAAAGTGTTATAATTTTTAATTTGTATAAATTGTAATTTAACAAATGTCTGTCAAATCTAAATGTAGTAAAATACAATTTATTTAAATAAAATATCTTTTTTAAAAAATGCTAACAACCTCGAATCGTCAATTGATCAAATATTCAAAACATCTAATCGTCATTTCGTCCAATGCTAAAAACATCGAATCGTCAAATGGTCGAATGCTTAAAACATCGAATCGTCAATTGATCAAATATTCAAAACATCTAATCGTCATTTGGTCCAATGCTCGAAACGTCGAATCGACAAAAATTGGAAAAATTTGCTTGGTTTAAATAAATGTTAACTTACATCAAGCAAATTTTTCAACTTTTTCTCGATTCGACGTTTCGAGCATTGGACGAAATGACGATTAGATGTTTTGAATATTTGATCAATTGACGATTCGATGTTTTAAGCATTCGACCATTTGACGATTCGATGTTTTTAGCATTGGACGAAATGACGATTAGATGTTTTGAATATTTGATCAATTGTCGATTCGAGGTTGTTAGCATTTTTTAAAAAAGATATTTTATTTAAATATATTATATTTTACTACATTTAGATTTGACAGACATTTGTTAAATTACAATTTATACAAATTAAAAATTATAACACTTTAAAATTAGGTTATTATAAAATTATAAAAAATAAACTTTGGCTTATACAACTATTTTATCAGTTGAAAGTTTGCGTAAAAAAATTTTATAATTGCTTATGATTATAGAAAATGCGAATTGGATATTTTGATTATTGGCTTAAAAATAAATTATAGAATAAACTCATTTTATTAATTAGACTTTTATATAAAATCACATTATATTCAATGTTCTTTAGATCATTTGAATATTTATAACCTTTAAATTAGATCAAATGACTATTAGAGCATTTGCATAAACGGGGATAAACAGGCGTCTCGAATAATTAGTAAGAAAAGGGCGAAGATACGTCCATTCTTTTCTTACTAATAGGATTTTCTGTAGGTAATGATCAGGGTGTTTTTTTGAAATTTTTACTGCACTATTCTTACGCATGTCACCGTCACCAATATTGTTACAATATATATTGTAACAATATTGTTACAACAAAGTCTAGACTTTGGGTTTTTGCAAGTCTAGACAATATAGTTGTATAATAATATAAATTTTTCTTTCTAAACCAGAATTTGAACATTTACAAAATTAAAACCTTATAGTGGTTAGAAAATGTAAAAAATTATTAATATTTATAAAAATATAAATTATTTTATTTAAAATCATTGTGTAATAAGACAAAAATTATGAAGTGACATTTACAAAAAATGTCATTGTACATTATACGAAATGTTATTTTTACGTATTCTCTTACTAAACCTTTCATTTTCGTCCGCTATCCTGGATTCGCCATTTTGTATTTTTAAAAAGTGACTTTGGATTCATAATCAGTGGAATTTTACTGAAAATCAGTTGAAAAGTACTAAAATATCAGTCATTCTTCACTGATTATTATTTTATTGTGATTTATTTATTAATATTGTAAATTTCTGTCAAACAAATAATTTTACTAAAAGTCAGTTGAAAATTACACTTACAGTAGTGTTTCATTCGAGCAACACGATCCGAGAAACGAACAAAAAACGATTTTCTTTTTGTTTTGATAACCAAGCTGTCATGTTCGCTCGTCTTATTGAAGTAAATTTTCATAAATGTTTATTTACATTATTCGAAGATAATTAAATCTTAAAAAATTACTATAAAAAAATTCTAATAATATTAGTTTTTAAAAATATTATAATGTTATTTTTCGAAAATAATTGAATTTCTTAAAATAATTCTTATATCCTAATTTACCTTTAAAAATTTTTTTTAAATTTTTGGTAATTCAATTATTTTCAAAATTTGCAATTAAAATTCTTCAAAAAATTGTAACAAAATACTTGAAATAAATTAATTATTTTCAATTAAATTTTGCACAATTTCAACTATTCAAAAAGGTTTCTATTGTAGACATATTTGAAAAATTTAATTGTGTTAAAAAATTATTCAAAGAAATCTAAGTATACTTATTTTTAATTATCTATAACTTAATCTATTGAATTTAGAAAAATTACATCAAGAGGACAAAACTTTGTTCTTTCGTCTACTTTTGAATAATGTTTAGAAAACTAAATTTTTATTAATGTTTATTAAAAAATTATTTTATACCTAAAAAAGTTAAATTTTTTTAATTTAGGCATGATTACAATCACAGGCACACAAAAAAAAAGTTGTCTGTTCATTGAACAAGACCTACATGTCTTATAGTATTTTGGCCCCCTGAATACGAATATGAAGTCAGAATTGCTCCAGCACCCTCTGTTTTTTTTAAATCGAAAAAACTACCCTTAAGTCTAAAATTCAAGAATTAAAGTAAAAAAAAATAAAAACACGGCTTTCTTCGGAGTAGAAGAATATATTTGTGCGTTTTCTTCTTTCAACAACTCAAATAATGTCAAAATTGCTCCACCACCCCTGTTTTTTTAAATAGGAGAAACTACCCTTAAATCTAAAATTCAAGAACTAAAGTAAAAAAATATGAAATAACCGGTTTTCTTGGGAGTAGAAGAATATATTTATGCGTTTTCTTCCTTTAACCTCTCAGAAATAATGTCAAAATTGCTCCACCACCCCTGTTTCTTTTAAATGGGAGAAACTACCCTTAAATCTAAAATTCAAGAACTAAAGTCAAAGAATGAAATAACCAGTTTTTTTGCGAAGTCGAAAAATATATTTATGCGTTTTTTTCTTTCAACAATTTAGAAATAATGACGAAATTGCTCCATCACCCCCTGCCCTTAAATCTAAAATTCAAGAATTATAGTAAAAAATGATATAACAGGTTTTTTCCAAAGTAGAAGAATATATTTATGTACTTTTTAAAAAAGCATCAGCATTGCTTCATCACCCTCTTATTGATTTATATTGAAAAAACTACCCCTTTAAGTATGAACCCAGAGTATACTAACAACAATAAAAACAATTAGTTTTAGACAAAAGCATACGTTCCTTTATTTTTGTTCTCATAACTAAAAAGCAGAATCAGAGTTAATTTATCATTATTTGTTGTTGAAAGAAGAAAACGCATAAATATATTCTTCTACTCCGAAGAAAACCGGTTATTTCATTTTTTTTCACTTTAGTTCTTGAATTTTAGATTTAAGGGTACTTTCTTCGATTTAAAAAAAAGTAGGGGTGGTGGAGCAATTTTGACATTATTTGAGTTGTTGAAAGAAGAAAACGCATAAATATATTCTTCTACTCCGAAGAAAGCCGTGTTTTTATTTTTTTTTACTTTAATTCTTGAATTTTAGACTTAAGGGTAGTTTTTTCGATTTAAAAGAAAACAGAGGGTGATGGAGCAATTCTGACTTCATATTCGTATTCAGGGGGCCAAAATACTATAAGACATGTAGGTCTTGTTCAATGAACAGACAACTTTTTTTTTTTAATAATAAAAATTAAAAATAATTATTTTTAATTTTTATTATTTAAATACACAATTAAAAATAATAATAATACTCCGCAAAAAAGCCCAACTAATAGAAAAATAAAAAAGTAGGTTAATTTTAAATTTAGATCCAACTATTACAATGTTATAGATTTATTAAGTAATATATAACAAGTAATATTATATATATTTCTCTAAATAAAGATGTCTATTGACTTTTTAAAATTGATTTTCTTAAAAATTTCTTTATTAAAAGTATTAATATTTAAATTTTATAGTAATTGCTGTTTTAAAAAATCAATCCGGGAATATTTATTTTTGGTCCGGGAATTTAAAAATAATAATTCACTAGACACCTTGAATTAATTTTTAACTTGATATAATAATTTTAATTCACTAAAATGAATTTAATTTTAGTTTTTAATAGAATTAATAAAAAAGAATTTAAATGTTTTTGGATATCGATTTTTTTCAAAAAATAGGTTATTATTGTATTATTTTTAGTTGTCAGTTATGGGAAAGTCGAGAAGTTCGGTCGATGACAATTAGAAAATTAGACGATACGATTTGACAATTAACAAAAGAATAAACAAGATGATCGTTTGAAAACCAAAGACGATAACCAAATAATCGCTCGAAAAAATGAAATTCGCGGATCGAAGTGAAACACTAACTTACAGAAATATAAGTCATTTTTCACTGATTATCCATTTAAAAAATTATTGTTGATGTCTGCCAAACAAATACAGGGTTGCCACGGACCTGGAAAACCTGGGAAACCCGGAATTGTCATGGAATTTTTTTTCAGTCATGGAAAACCTGAAAAATCTGGAATTGTCAGGGAATTTTATAAAGCCTGATACTAAAAGCTCAATTTTTTGTATTTGAGTCGTAAAAATTTCAAGTTTTCAAGTTGACATACAACTTTTTGATTTTAAATTTAGTGCTTACAATTGAAATCAATATGGCATTTCTAAATTTTAGTTTCTTTTGGTCTCTATCTTCCTTTAAATAATTTTTAAATTAATACATTTTAGAAACCCCAAAATGTTATGAAACTGAAGCTACCAACTTTTATGCAATGAAAATTTTTTCTTTTGCTAATTGTTTTTTAATGTAAGAAGCCCTTTAAAAAATTGCAATCGAAAAAAATTGCTTCTGAAGCAAGGAAATAATAATTTAGTTAAAATTTCGGGATATTTGGAAAATCTACGAAAAAATAATTAAAAATCACTAATTTCCTTGCCTTCCTTAGATCCTCTTACAATTTTTTTAAATGACTTGTCACATTAAAATAAATAATTTGTAAAAGAAAAAATTGCTTATGAGGTGAGGAAATAATAATTTTGTTTAAATAATATATGGATTTTTCGAAAATCTGTGTAAAAAATCAAAATTAATAATTTCCCCGACTTCGATCTTTTAAAATTTTTTAAAAGGCTTCTAACATTAAAATAAATAATTAGCAAAGAAAAAATTGTCATTGAATAAACGTAGGTAACTTCAGTTTCATAAAATGTTATTAAAATGCTTTTTAAAATACTGGTTTAATAATTGTGAAAAATGCTAAACTTAACTAAATTTTTAAATTTAAAAAGATTTGCTCCTCATCTTTCTTCGGAGCGTATCTCAAATAACCTTACAAATTTTAACTTAATTTTTTGTTAATAATGAAATTAAAAATTAATAACTTATTTTGTTAACAATTTACTTAAAGGATTTTATACTTTTTGTCGTAATTAGCTAAAAACATACCAAAACAATTTTATTTCTGGTTTGGAATTTTTTAAGAAATGGTCTGGAAAACCTGGAAAAGTCATGGAATTTTAAAATCGATGTCTTGTGGCAACCCTGAAATAAATAAGTAAATACACAAGTAAATAAATAAGTTCCATTACAACACAGACAGCGCAGCATTAGCGAGTGAGGTATTTACGTATATTTAAAAAAATTTCAACAGACACTACGTGCATCAACGAACCTTAAAAAATTCAACAATTTATATTATCAATCGTTTATTAAATCTATACATATATGTGATTTGTGTATATGTAGGAGTTTATATCTGCATATGAGCAGTATACATGTGTATGTAATTTATGAACATGTGTGAGTATACATGTACATGTGATTAGTGTATATGTGTGAGTATACATGTGTGGGTGTTATGCGCGCATGCTTGATATTCATAGAACACTACTGCGCATGCCTGATATTCATAGAACACTACTGCGCATTCCTCACATTGATAGAACACTACTGCGCATGCCTGATATTCATAGAACACTACTGCGCATGCCTGATATTTAAAGAACACTACTGCGCATGCGTAATATTGACAGAACACTACTGCGCATGCGTAATATTGACAGAACACTACTGCGCATGCCTAATATTGACAGAACACTACTGCGCATGTGTAATATTGACAGAACACTACTGCGCATGCGTGGCACTAATAGAACACTACTGCGCATGTGTAATATTGTCAGAACACTACTGCGCATGTGTAATATTGACAGAACACTACTGCGCATGTGTAATATTGACAGAACACTACTGCGCATGCCTAATATTGACAGAACACTACTGCGCATGTGTAATATTGACAGAACACTACTGCGCATGCGTAACAGTGATAGAACACTACTGCGCATGCGTAACATTGACAGAACACTACTGCGCATGCGTAACATTGACAGAACACTACTGCGCATGCGTAACATTGACAGAACACTACTGCGCATGCGTGACATTGTGAATATGTATACATTTGTGTTAATATTATTTTTAAAAGATATACATATATATACGGCTAGGGTCGGTCGGTCGGTCGGTCGGTCGGTCGTTCTTCAACTTAATATAATAAGAGATTTGTCAATTTTTTTAATTGTCTATTCTATTAATTATCTATTTTTTAATCTATTAAAATATCTATCGATCTATTATTTAGTCTGTTCTTTGATCTATTATTTATTCTATTGTTTATTCTAGTTTTTATTCTATTTTTTATTCTATTTTTAAATTTATTTTTTTTAAAATCTGTTTTAATCTATTTTTTAAATTTAATTTTAAATCTGTTTTTTAATTTATTTTTATATCTATTTTTTAGATTCTCAAAATTTTAGATAAAAAATACTAACACAAACAATTAGAGAAATTCGGAAATTTTTTCCCCCCAAAATTTAGAGGCGCTTTTGAAAATTTAGTAATTTGATATTATATGAAATATGCATTTATCATTCTTACGTTTTTTGTGAATTGCAGTATGGACTTTATGGCAGTTTTCTCGGCTGCTTTATTTATATTATATTCGGATCCTGTAAGGATGTTCCTGTGGGTCCCACTGCCATTGCTTCGTTGCTAACATACCAAACAGTGGCTCATTTAGATGATAAAGTCTCTCACGCCTTACTTTTATGTTTCATAGCAGGCGTCTTTGAATTATTGATGGGAATTTTCGGTCTAGGTGATTATTCCATTCAAAAGCAATTCTCAGGATCTAGAAAAGAAAATAATAATTATTTACTATCAATATAATAGAGTAAAAATATTATTTGCAAAAATATTTATTTAATATTAATATTTAACAAAAACTCTACACTAATTTAAAATAATATTAATACTTGAATAAAAATATTAATACTACTACTAATAATAATAAAAATAACGATATTAATTAATATATAATTAATATAAAATTTTAATATATTAAATTAAATATATTTCATTAAATTTACTTTAATAGGTACTTTAATTTAATTTAAATTTTTATTTCTATTTTTATTTTTTTATAGAAATAGATAGATTAGATTTTTATTTTACAGATAGTTTCTATTTTTATATTAGTATTAAATTTTATTTTAATTAGAAATTTTATGCTTTCAGGTTTCATTATAAATTTCGTCTCCGGTCCTGTTAGTTCAGGATTCACATCAGCTGTAGCTTTAATTATTGTTACGTCACAAATAAAAGATATTTTAGGAGTACCCGCGGAAGGTACGACTTTTCTCGATATGTGGACAAGCATCATTGATAAAGTATCGTATGGTCCAATTTCTTATTTGGATGCTTCAATTGGTGTCTCCTGTATCGTTTTTTTACTTATTTTTAGGGTAGGTAAAATTTTTAAATTCTTAAGCTAATAAAAAATAGTTGAAAACAAATTTAAAGAAAAAACCTAAGACTTTTATAAATAAAGGAATAAAAAAAATCTATATTCATAATCGTTGTGTTCCGGTAATCTGTTCGCAGTTTAAAGTTAGTTTTTGTTTCGTAACTTTTTAAAATAATTTTTCTTTTTAAATATTTGCAATTTTAAAATTATTGCATTGATGTAAATTAATGTCATTCTTCTCGTGAAGAATTTTATTAAAATTTTTGAAAATTCTAATTAAATTCTTTTGAAGAATTTCTATTAATTTTTTTTCAAGTAATGGAGTTTCTTCAATAATTTTAATTAAAATTTTTGAAAATAATTGAATTTTATGAACAATTTCTTTCAAGATTTTAAAAAAATCGTGTTTGCTATTAATTGAAGTTAAACATATTCTTAAATTTTATTAAAATATTAGAAAATAATCGAATTCTTTTGAAAAATTTTATAACGAATTAGGAAAAAAATTGAAGTCTTTCGTGAAATTGTTTAGGATATAATTGAATGTTTGCAAATAATTTTTACTATTTATAAATATAATTGAATTGTTTCGAAGGATTTATTAAAATTCTTGAAAATAATTGATTTTTTTTCGAAAAATATTACTAAAAATTTTTTTAAAATATTGAATTCTTTCTAAAAATGTTATTAAAATTGTATTAAAAATAATTGAATTTTTCCAAAGAATTTTATTGATTATAATTAAAATTGAATTGTTTCGTGAATTTTTTTTGAAAATAATTAAATTTTTGCAGATTTTATAACGATTCAAAAAAATTGAATTCTTTCGTGAATTTTTTTTGAAAATTATTGAATTTTTGCAAAAATTTTACGGTATTTAAAGAAATAGTTGAATTGTTTCGAAGGATTTATGAAAATTTTAGAAAATAATTGTATTCGTTCGTGAAATGTTATTAAAATTTTGTTTAAAAATAATTAAATTTTGGCAAAAAATTCTACTATTTAAAAAAATAATTGAATTTTTACAAAGAATTTTATTATTTATAAAAATAATTGAATTCTTGTGAAGAATTTTATTAAAATTTGTAAAATTAATAAACAAGAATATTTAATGACATTTGCTAGTTTACAATAAAGAAATAAAAATTTCAATAACACAAATTTTTTAATTTCAATAAATAAAGAATCAAAAGACTTTTATTCATGAAAATATTTTAATAAATGAAAAATCAGAAAGATTATAAGTAAAAAATGTAATGAATAGAAAAATAATATAAAAAACAGTAGTTTTTTTATTTTATTTTTAATTCGGAATATTTGGATTTTAATAAAGAAAAAATTCCCTTGCAGATGATCACGTCATTTAACATAGGCCCCAAGCAAGAAGAGCTTCGAACAAGTAGGCAAAAAGTGATAAACAAAATTATTTGGCTCACAGGAACTTCAAGGAATGCCCTATTAGTCATCATGTGCGGTGGCTTGGGCTATTATTTTTCGGAAAATAAAGAAATTCATTTGATTGGTAAGATTTTTTTCCTCTCTTTTGTTTCCTCATGGAGGAAGTATTTTTTTTTTTTAAATAAAATTCTATTTTTCCTCAATAATTTATTTTCAATTTTTTTTTCTGTTCAATTAAATTTGTTTATTTTCTTCATTTAATAAATTTTGTTTCTCTTTTCCTTCTATTTTAAAGGTGAAATTTCAAGGGGAATGCCAACGATACAACTACCACCATTTAGTATAAATAATGCCAATAGTACAATTTCCTTCATTGAGATGTGTAAAAATTTAGGAAGTGGAATCCTTGTTGTTCCACTTATTTCTCTCATGGAAAATGTGGCCATCTGCAAAGCCTTTGGTATGCTAAAGAATATTTTATTTCTTGCATTGTATTCAAAATACACTAAAAAAATATTTTTATACGTTACGAAATTTTATTAAAATTACTGATGAGTTAAATTAATTAAATTGTAGGATTAATAATAATTATATTTACCACTCGGAGGTATTTTAAATAGTACAATTGATTAAAATATAATAATACGATAATTGAAAACAAAATTTGAATTTAAACGAAAGAAAAATAAATTCTATTTTGAATTTTAGCAAATGGAAAATCCGTTGACGCAACTCAGGAATTAATAGCAATTGGAATGGCAAATATAGGAAATTCTTTTGTGCAATCTTTTCCTGGGACAGGTTCATTGAGCCGAAGTGCAGTTAACAATGCTTCTGGAGTTAGAACCCCACTCGGTGGACTTTACACTGGTAATTAATGTTAATCAGAATGAAAACATTTTTGCTTTTTTGTTTCATTTTTTTTTTTTTTGTTGAATTTAATGTAAAAATGATGTTAATAATTTTTCATTTGCACAGGTATTCTCGTAATCTTGGCACTTTTATTCCTCACGCCTTATTTCTATTATATTCCAAAAGCGTCCTTGGCTGCGATTATTATCGCTGCTGTCATTTTTATGGTTGAGGTCAAGGTCGTGAGGCCCATGTGGAGGACAAAAAGTACGTGAGCTTTTTTTTTCGTTGCATTTCAATTTTGCAGTTCCTTTTATTTTTTTCTTGTTTTTTATATAAATTAATATGACCAGAGAATGTTTTTTTTATTTTGCTGTTTATTTTCATAAATAAAACTGCTGTTTTTAAAATAAAACTGCTATGATTTTGAAATAAAACTGTTAATTTTGAAATTAAAACTGTTAATTTTGAAATTAAAACTATTAATTTTGAAATGTTTAGTTAAAAAGGTTGATAATGTTTTTTTAATAAAAGTTATTTTTTAATTGTTATTTCGTTTTGATATTAAATTATTGTGTCGAATATTTACTGACCTGAATAATACTTTTCTTTTTGGTAGAATCCGATTTAATACCAGGTATTGGTACTTTTATCGCCTGTCTGGTTCTGCAACTGGAAATCGGCATTCTTTTTGGAATTGGACTGAACGTTCTTTTTATTCTTTATCATGCAGCCAGGCCAAAGATATCTGTGGAAAAACTCTCGGTAAGTTTTGGCGAAACAAGTAATAAAATAAATAAATTTAATGTTTTTTATCGCATAAGAAAAACTGGATTTTATATATTTTAATTATAATTATACTGTTCTCTGTAGAATTCAAAAATTAATTTTTCAAACATTTCTTATCACTTTTGTTCTAAATTGTTCAAATTTTTTACTTATTCAGATTTAGAGAATAAATTTTGTGACACTATTTTTGTAAGAAAATTTAGAAATTATTTTATTTTTCGTAATTTTTTGTTTTTAATTTTAAAAGATAACATTTTTATTAACAAAAATTTTCTATAGAATTTTAATAAAATTTTCGAATTGTTACGAAAAGTATTATGGACAATTTTGAAAATAATTAAATGATTTCGCGAAATTTAATTAAAATTCAATTGAAAATAATTGAATTCTGATAAAAAAATTTATAAAATACTTCAATTATTTCGAGAAATTTTTAAAAAATTATGTTCAAAACAATTGAATTCTTTAGAAAAATTTTATTACTTATGTAAATAATTGAAGTTTTTTGAGAAATTTTAAAATTATATTTAAAAAACACTTGAATTTCTTTGAAAAAAATTTATTATTTATGTAAATAATTGAAGTTTTTTGAGAAATTCTATTAAACTTCTTTTCAAAATAATTGAATTCCAGTGAAGAATTCTAATATTTATGAAAATAATTGAATTGTTTCGAAGAATCTTACTACAAATATCAAATTATGTTCAAAATAATTGAATTTCTCTGAAAGTTTATATTATTTATGAAAAAAGTTAATTTTTGCAAAGAATTTTGTTATTTATGGAAATAATTGAATTCTTTTAGAAATTTCATTAAATTCTTTTTCAAAATAATTAATCATTTTCGACGAATTTTATTATTTCTGAAAACAATTGAATTCCTTCGAGAAATTTAAATATAATTACGTTCAAAATAATTGAATTTCTCTGAAGAATTCTATTATTTATGAAAATAATTGAATTTCTGGGAAGAATTTTATTAAATTGATATAAAAAATAATTGAATTTCTCTGATGAGTTATATTATTTATGAAAGTAATTAAATTTTAGCGAGCAATTTTATTTAAAGTTTTTAAAATTATTGAAGTTAATATAATTAAATAACACTTCACAAGAATTCAATGATTTTCATAAATAATAACATTCTTTGAAAGAATTCAATTACTTTTATAAATAGTACAATCTTTTGCAAAAATTCAATTTTTTAAAAACTTTTTAAAAAATTTCACGAAAGATTTCAATTATTTTTTAATATTTTAATAAATCTTTCACAATTCAAATATTTTTTTAAATAGTAAAAATCTTTGAAAAAATTCAATAATTTTCAATAAAATTTCACGAAATAATTCAAATTTTTTTCTTAATTTGTTATAACATTTTTAAAAAGATTTCAATTATTTTCTAAAATTTTTAAAAATCTTTCGAAACAATTCAATTTTTAAAAATTTTTAATAAAATTTTTCGAAAGAATTCAATTATTTTCAATATTTTAATAAAATTCCTTAAATTACTTAAATTATTTTAGAAAATTGTAATAAAATTCTGAGAAGAATTTAATTATTTTCTAAAAATTGTAATAGAATTCAATAATTTAATTGTTTAATTTTAATTATTAAGAAACATAATAATTTTAAAACTTGAAAGAAATTGTTCATAAAATTCAATTACTGTCAAAATTTTCAATATTTTGATAACATTCTTTGCAAGAATTCAATTATTTTCATAAATAATAAAATTCTTCGGAGAATTTCAATTATTCTTAAATTTTTTGATAAAATTCTTTGCAAGAATTCAATGATTTTCAATATATTAATTTTAAAATTGAAAATATTTAAAAAGAAAAATTATTACAAAAGTCAGTAAACAAAGAAGCAAACAAAAACTAACTTCAAACTGGGAACAGATTACCGGAATACAACGATTATTAATATTGCTTACGAAGAATTTTATTAGTTATAAAAATAATTAAATTTTTTTCGAGAAATTTTATTAAAATTAAACAAATAATAATTGAATTCCTGAGAAGAATGTTATTATTTATGAAAATAATAATTGAATTTTAGCGGAGAATTTCATTCAAATTTTAAAAAATAATAATAATTAATTACGTAATAATGTTAATAATTGCATTATTTTTAAATCTGAATCTGAAATTATTCAAAAATAAATTAAATAAATTATTCGAACTTCAATTATTGAAGTTGATACCGAGTTCGCGCGTAACATTTGCTAGTTAATTAATAATTTATCATTTTAATTAATAATTGATTAATAATTTATAATTTTAATTAACAATTGATTAATAATTTATAATTTCAATTAATAAATTGAAAAGAAAATTAATATTGTTAAATTATAAAATTAAAATTAAATTTTACCTGACCAATGTTGTTGAAATTAATTTTCAGAGTCGTCATGGAATTGAATACTTGATGTTAACTCCAGATAGATGTTTAATTTTCCCATCAGTTGACTATGTGAGAAATCTCGTGACAAAATACAGTTGTCGTGGTTCAAGTGTTTTGACACCAGTTGTTATTGATTGTTCGCACATTTACGGTGCCGATTTTACAGCCGCGACAGTTATTGAAACTTTAACAAAAGACTTTGCTGCACGTGGACAACCATTATTCTTTTTCAATTTAAAACCATCGGTTCATGCCGTCTTCGAAGGTGTTTCGCCCACTGATTTTGTCGTTTATTATACCCGCGAAGGACTTGACGATCTCCTCAAAGAACGTGGATATCTCAATCAAATTAAACACGACATTCCATTAGTCTGAAACAGAAACTTTCTAATTTTTTTTTTTAATTACTAAATTACAAAATTCATTTCTCCCCAATCGATTCTTCGGTGGAAACACCACAACATCGATATAAATACATAGAGATGAAAAAGTATTAATTCCTGTAAATTCTAGATTATTATTAATTAAATAAAAATAACTCTAAAAAAAAAAAATGTTGAAAATTTAGAAGAAAGATTTTTAAAGAAAAAAAAGAAAATTAGTTACAAAAAAAAAATAATGGTAAATTTAAGAGAATATCAATGTTGGATGACTTAAAAAAATGTCTTGAAATAGTTTTTAACTTCGATACTTTGTGCTACTATTGTAAGAAAAACGAGATTTAAATTTACTGAAATTATTTAATTATATATTAATAGAAAGAAGATGAATCTTGTTTTTCATGAGAATAAAAATTATATATTCACAAATAGGTATTTTAATAAATTTTGACGTCGCATGGAAAAGTGTAATTATTATGCACCGGAAACAGTATTTTCGAATGTAACTGCCGAGCGATAAAAAGACATTCTTTATAGTATTATATATTACATAAAGATATAAAAAAAATTATTTATTACAAAGAATATTTTGAAAGAAAACTTGTACTTATTAACAATATTTGTTAACAATAATCTTCAGTTGTCATTTAATTAGCGAAAAATGTTAATATTGTAATTCTATAAATAATAATTATAATTATTAATCATTATTAACTGATTAATAATTATTAATAATTATTATTAATTAATTTTTATAATACATAATGATTGCATTTAATTATTACAATTATAATTATTTTTCTCATTATATTATCGAAATTATAATATTAAACATTTAGTATTGACATCTCAAGTTTCGTTTTAATAAATATTTTTTATTTTATTTATTTTTAATTAATTAATTTTAACTTATAAGAAACTCTTTAGTATTTCTTAGGAGTTTAAAAATTTTCGAGAGAAATGTTTCTTTTCGCTTTGATATGGCAGTGTGTATGTGTAAATAGATTAAGTTTGTAACAAATACTGTGATAATTTTTGTAAAAAAAAAAAAAAAATGAAGAAAATGATAAAATGTATTATAATAAAAGTAGTCAAATTGTAGTATTATAATTCTAGGACCTAGTTTATACATAATCAGCAAACATCAAAAATTATGTGCACTTTCTGCCAATTAGAGATAATTTCATGAAAATATATCCTCTAATAATGAAAGAAAAGTATAAAAAATGGAAGAAAATGTAAAATTTAAAAACAAAATGTAAAGTATATTTGTAGTTCCTGTGATTATACGATTATAATAGAGTTTAAAATTAAAACAAAGAGTTTATAAAAAAGAGACAAAAAAAAAACAGAAACGGAAAGATCTTCCTGTACTATCACGTTATAATCGTTATACACGGAAAAAAGAAGTACGTGAATCCTTCCTTGACAGTGCTTGACTTTTGGATAGGACACAAAATACAAGGCTGTTCCATATACTTTTTATTAGAAAATATAAGAAAGTCCTAGAATTATTCTAGTACTAGTACGGCCCATACTAGTACTAGAATAATTCTTGTATTTTGTGTCCTATCCAAAAGTCAAGCACTGTCAAGGAAGGATTCACGTACTTCTTTTTTCCGTGTAATATTAATATATTTATAAATATTATTTTTTGGGTATTTTATTTCTTGACCTCGTGTTCATTTCTTATGTTCGAATCTAGTTTTATTTCTAGATTAAAAATTATTTCAAAAAAAGATTTAGAGGAAACTGAAACAAAATGAATCAAAATTAAATTAAAATTGTAATTTAAATACAACTAATTTTAATTAAAATTATATTTATTTATTTATTTACACTTTTATTTAAATATAGTAATGTATTGAAATTGAAAATAATAAGAATTGAAAAGTAATTAAAATCGAAAAGTAATTTAAGTCGAAAAGTAATTAAAATTAAAAAGCAATTTAAATCGAAAAGTAATTGAAATCGAAAAGTAATTTAAATTAAAAAGTAATTTAAATTGAAAATTAATATTAAAATTAATTTAAGTTGAAAATTAATAAAATTTGTAAACAATAAATTGTTTTGTTTGGTTTGAAAAGTACAGTAGCAAAAGACATTTTATATAAACTTTATTGAATAACACAAGTTTTGGAAATGCAAAAAACATTTCATTGATTGAATAATAAAGTTCAATTATAAACCATTCGAAAATTTATTCTTAATTAGGAATGAGACTTGAATAATTTGAATATTTTTCAATTCTTAAAAAATACCTATTTAAAAATCATTCATTCCTAGTTAAGAGAAAAAATATACATAAAAAATTTTTCTACCTATTACATTAATAATACGATCATAATAAAACAAGTAAATAAATTTCTAAATCAACATACTTTTTAGTTAACAATTTTGAATATTATAAATAAAATTCATATATTCTAGTGTATGTACATTTGAGCAAAAGCATCCTCTTTGTGCATTCTTCATTTCTTTTATTTTCATTGTATTTTTTTTTCCTATTATTATTATTATAGAATTAAAAACAATTTTTATCTTTCATCGAACACACGAAAGTGGGAATGGAATAATTTTGAACGAATTTAACGAATCATCAGAATATAAGTAATTTTAATTATCACTTTACTTATATTTAGATGGTCTTTGGTTTTAATTTTATATTCTATTGAGAAAATGTGTTTTTTTTTCTTATAAAAAATATGTTTATTAGTTCTAAATTTAAGTCTTCTTTTTTTTAATACTGCGAATAAATTAAAAATTATTACACCCTGACTAAAATTTACGTATGTTCGTGTATATATTGATATGCTTTCTTTTTTTTATTCTCTATTCTTTCTCTCTATTCAAAAATTTGGACTTTTCTTTCGGAATTTTTTTTTAAACAAGTTTTTCTTTAAACAAGTTTTTTGAAAACAAATTTTATAGAATTTAAAAAATTTCTTTTATTATTAAAGTTCTACTTGAATCTACTGTAAATTATTCGTCTATGGAAGATATATAATAGAAGCATAAATTTTTCCTTAAATATTAATTTTCCTTTGTACGTATGCACTTTTTTTTTAATATATAAATTTAATCACAATTTTTATATATCATATTGCACGTATTTTTAATTGAAAACTTATGAAGAAAAACATTATTATAATTGTAAACAATTACAATTATAATTTTCATTATAAATTAAATTATAATTTTAATTGTTTAGAATCATAATTTTCATTATAAATTAAAGTATAATTTTAATTGTTTAGAATTATAATTATAATTTAATTTAGAATTAAAATTATAATTATAAATTATTCTAAACGATTTTAAATTAAAATTTTCTTTCAATAAGATTTTCACTTAATTTTTACAACTTATTTGTAAATTCGTAAATAAAACGTTCGTTAATTTCAATTTTTTTCATTAAATTGAAATTTTTAATTAAATATTCGAAAAAATTGACTTAGAAGATTGACATTCGTTTCGTTATGATATATTCCTAATCTCACCAAATTGATAAACATTTTTTTTATTCCGCTAAAATTTCAAACGTTCAAATGAACGATTTTTTTTATTTGTTTCTGAATTTTTCAAAATTAATTTAAATTTACTATTTACCAGGTATTCATAATAAAAATTTTATTTATCAATTAGTGTTTTAATATGTAAATAAATTTTTAGTAAAATAAAAAATAAGGTTCATGTCGAACGTTCGAAACTTTAAGGATACTTTTTTTTTTAAAGAGAGTCTCTTTTTGAATATCAAATATTCATAGTAAATCTATTTGAAATTGACCAAGTTACTTTAGATTCTACTTACGATATGTCTCATCTTTATTGCTCATAGAATTGTGCGGATACCTTTAAAGCCAGCCAAAATCCATTCCAGTGAGTTGATAAAAACGTTGATTGAATGGTCTATAAAAATCGCGTAAACGTTCAATTGCGACTGGTTCTATGTGCGGATGACTTCTGCCTTTATTTTTTCCTTAAAAGAAAATTTCCATTTAAAAGAAAATTGAAAATTTTAATAGAAGTTTAAAAAATAACATTAACTGATTTTGCCATTTTCCTTGAAAAGAAAGGAAAGAAATAAAATTTGTATTCGAAAGAAAAAAATAATATTAAGCATTAATTAAAAAAATATGAACTAAAATAATATTAATTCAGAAAAAAGAAAAGTTAATCTAATTCTTGAAAGAAATATTTTTTATTCTTTTTTTATTTACTCACCAAGGCAATGGGGAGTCGCTCGCTCCTCGGATTTAAGAAGACAGGGAAAACCCTTGGTGGCATTAAAGTAAAAGTGCTTTTCGCAAATGACTCGTTTAATGCCGAGAAAATCTTGAACACGCGTCATTTCAGTGACGGGATCGGCAATTAATCGTTCGCCAGAGACAAAGAGAAGTTGCGATAATGGAAAATATTGTAGCCAACGTTCCAAATGTCTCGCGTAAACACCAATTCTAAGAGGAGACCACGTCATGTCAACGACTTGCGATTCATTCAAAAATGCCAAATCCTCAAATCTCAACATTTTCGCTCGTTTACTCTTCACTTGAGTATAATCGGATATTGCACGTGTCACTGGATCGCGAACAACGACAATTAATTTTGTGCCAGGATTCATGTGTTGTACACGTCTTGGTGCTTCCGGCGTCACAAAGTATGACGGCGTTTTTTCCATTGTAATTTGACCCTCCAAAGTTGGTGGCATTTTGCGTCTATTAATAAAAATAGAAAAAAGAAAATAAAAACATAATTAGGGGAAGAAAAAATACAGGATTGTCACAAATATTTAATTTCGTTTTCCCTGATTTCCAGACAGAATTTTGAATTTTTCCCTGACAAAAAAACATCAAAATTCAGAGTTTTCTTATGAGTTTTAAAAATTCAATTTTTTCCAGTACTTTTACTAAAAACCCCGGACTTTTTCCTGATTTCCCTGACTTGTGGCAACCCTGAAGTAGAAACAAAACGGTGATTAAAAATATTTTCTTTTTCTGTTAATTTCTATTTTCCTGAAATTCACCTGTACCAATGGAATCCCTTCGCGTAATAATGATCGAAAAAATGAACTTCCGAGCCAGCTGCTCGAATATCGGGATGAAGTCTCAAAAACTCTAGGAGAGCCCTGGTGCCTCCTTTTTTCACGCCAATTATAAGAGCAGTAGGAAGTTGTCTATTCGGCACTAAACCTTGTTGTCGAAAGATCTTGTACTTTGGAGACACATCAATAATATCCTAAAAAACAATTGATTACTTTCTCCTCAAAATTATTTCAATTATCCTTTAATTAAGCAAATTATTTAAGAAATTTAATTAAGTAAATAAGTAATTTAATTAAGGGAATTAACAATTTAATTAAGTAATTTTTAAGAAATTTAATTAAGGAAATTAAGAATTTAATTAATAAGGGAATTAACAATTTAATTAAGTAATTTTTAAGCAATTTAATTAAGGAAATTAAGAATTTAATTAATAAGGGAATTATTAGCAATTTAGTTAAGTAAAGTAATTAATAAACAAAAATCGTTTTTAAAAAAATAAAATCTACTTACTTTGAAACTTTCATTGCTGGTCAAAAGTGGAACGACTTGAACCTTGGTTACTTTGTAATTAATATTCGTAAAGTCGTCTAGAGGAATTTCTTCAACTTTAATACTTTCGGAAACTCTTCTCAAAAAATGATTCGATGTCAGTCTTATTCGGTGTAGAGTAATTTTACGTGAAAGACCACTAAACAGACACGATTTCTCATTGATAATTATCCACACGAGAAATAATAGAAGACAAATAATGACTAGAATTTTTTTCACCAACTGCCATGATTTCCTAACTTCCATCATGTATTCTTCTTCTTTCTTCTATCATAATTTTACACGCACTAAAATATGTATAATAAACATTTATTTTCATGTACTTTGTTTTCTATTTTTCTAAAAGAAAACTAAAAATAGACAATATTTGAATTATTTACAATATTATCACTAAACCACTTATAAATATTATAATAAAAATGCCTGTCTAATGAAAACGAACGAATCTGTCAAATTTTTTGGTTATGTTTCAATTCATTCCTCACGAATTTTACCTTTTTTTATATATATTATGCATTGTAATAAATACAATTTATAAACTTTAAACGAAAATAAACATATAAAAATAATCTAAAATAATTGAAATGGGACAATTTAGAGGAACACTGACACTTTTTTAGATAATAGAACAAAAAAATTTACCTTATTATTAGAAGAAACTTAGCACCAGGAAGAGCATGGAATTGTTTCGAGTATGTGACAAGAAGACATTATTATTCCTATTTATTGAGTTATTGTAATTGATGTTTGTTGACACACGAATTTCATTATTTTCTTTTCTTGTTGACAAATTCGAACAAGAAAATTATATACTTTTAATAGTAGATAGAACAGTTTACAGCCTTTGGCAGTGTTGGTGAAAAATCGATAAAACCCGCGAATAGGGTAAAGAATTCGCAACATTTTCCCCGTTTTCAAATTCAAACAAACAATTTACCACCCAAATATTTTACTTTTGACAAACAATACCTTGAGTAAAATAAAAATATTCGAGAAAATTAGAAACTAATAGTGTAAATAAATTTTTCTACAACTCTAGAAGGAAAATTTAAAGAAGGACGATTTTTCAAATAAGCGCGCAATCAAAAGCGCATGTGCAGAACGGATAAAAGTGTCTAGGGAATTTCAGGGGGAAAAACACGACAAAAATAAAAAATTGTGATTGTATAAAAAGTTCCTAAATGATATTGACATTATTATTATTTAAATAAAAATTAATTTTTGTCATTAATATCCGGGAAATAAGTGGACTATGTTTATTAGTAATCGAGTAAATAAAGCGTAAGGAGTGTTTTTTTAATGAGTATATTCGTGCAGTATAGATAAAAACGTAATTGTATACGTGGTATCCGTGGTATACGTCAACAATTGAAACTTAACCTCAAAATAGTGATGACATCTTTTGCTTTTTGTCATTTATTTTTTTTTAAATAATTATAAAAGAGTTGTTTTAAAAAGCAATAAATAATATAAAAATTGTTTCAATGATTATAGTTGATAAAAATTATATTTCTATTCAATTTTGGGGGGACATGCGTTTGCAAGAAATTTAATTAATGGTCTGTAACGTTCGTCTAATAATTTATCTGTCATTTAGAAATTAAGATGAAATATTCCACATCACCGCCAGTAAGTAGATGTGCATCTCCTATGTCAATGAGATCATCTTCATCGCTACCGATACCTGCCACTTACAGGTAAATCTTTCTTTATTTTTATTTTCAATCTCTCGACTTCTTTCTCTTTCTTGCCTAAGTAATTTAGTTAAATATAAATTGGTACTTAAATTAATTTATTTATTTACTGTAGCTTAAGTAAAAATTTATTTAGTCTTATTTTGTAATTCGTAATTTATTCTTTTTCAGGCAAGAATGTTTTGGTGCACCGACAAAATTTTACAAATACCTACGAAAACTTTTAATGTTTGAACAAATGGATTTTGAATTTGCTACATGGCAAATGATCTATCTTTTTACAAATCCACAGAAAGTTTATAGAAATTTCAGAAGTAGAAAGCGTAAGTAGTAAAAAATTATTAAAATATTAGTTAAGTTATTAGTAAATTTATTTTAAATACGATTCGAAATGTTTTTGTAAAGAAATGAGAACTAAAATATTATTTATAGAGACAAAATCGCAGTTTGCCAGAGATGATCCAGCTTTTCTTGTGTTATTGACGTTCTGGCTGTTCGTTTCATCCGTTGGCTTTGCCATTGTTTTAGGTTTAGGATTTTTCCAATTTCTCGCGTTTCTATTTTACGTGATCATAGTCGATTGTATTGGAATTGGAGTCATAGTCGCTTCGCTTTTTTGGTAATGAAAAAAGATTTTCTTTTTTAGACAAAAAAAGAGGAAAAGTTTTTAAAGAAAACTGAGAGAAGAGTCAAACTTAATGACAATGTAATTAAATTAATTTTACTATCGACAGGTTTGTGACAAATCGATATCTTCGAATAGATAAAACTCAGGACGTTGAATGGGGCTATTGTTTCGACATTCATATAAATGCTTTTTTCCCACCTCTCATAATTCTTCATTTTGTTCAACTATTTCTATACAATGGTAAAGTAGTTCTAGAAATTAAAAAATAATTTATATTTCACATTTTTCTCGAATTATTTCAATTTATAATTGAAAAAATTTCAATACAGTGGAACCTCGATTATCCGAACTAACCTAGGCACGGCCTGATTCGGATAATCGAAAATTCGGATAATAGAGGTTTTAATGTTTTTCATAATTAAAGTAAAAAAATTGGACAGTTGAACTATATGTACATATTTAATTTAATACATTTTTCAAAGATATATAAGTATATATATTAATTTATAATAATATATTAATAAAACACAATATATGATTTTTTTAAGACTTTTTTGGCATAAACAAACATAAGTAATAAAATAAATAGAGAAAATAAATTTTAAAATTCGGATAGCCAAAAAAAAGTTCGGATAATAGAAATTCGGATAAAATGATTTTCGGTTCGGATAATAGAGGTTTCGGATAACAGAGGTTCGGATAATCGAGGTTCCACTGTACCTTCAATTTAAAAGAATTGAATGTTTATTAATTTGAAATAATTTTAGGTTTCATTATTCACGATGGATTTTCCTCTCGCTTTCTTGGAAATACTTTTTGGATGATTGCTGTTAGTTATTACATTTATATAACATTCTTAGGATACGCTAGTAAGTTTATTATTCAAAAAAAAAATTGAATCTTAAAAATAGAAACAAAAAATTAATTTTTGCATTTTGTTGCAGATGTAGAGATTCTTTCTAAAACACATGTAATTTTATCAGCGTTACCGATAGCATTTCTCCTTTACGTAACAACATTAGCTGGAGGAATAAATATTACCCGAATGATAATGAATTTCTATTACGACAGAGTCGTGTAGTTAGTGTAAATAAATATATTTTTTTTTATAACGCAAAAATCTAATTTCACAAATAAATAAAAATTAAGTGGTGAACAATGGAAGAAAGTCAATAAAATTGAAAATTTCATTTTGTCAAATTTCTCATATATTTAAATAATTGTGTAAACATATCGTTGAATGACATAAAAATCATTTGTATATAACGTTTTCTTTTTTTCACTTTTTTTTTTGTTTTAATAATGTTAAAAATACATTTTTTAAAAAATTTTCTTTTAAATAGATAATTAAATGCGTTACTTATTAACAGCGTGTAAATATTTTTCATAATATTATAATTTTAATATATATATATATATATATATAATTTTTACTATGTAAATGTCCGATATAAAGTGAATTATTATCAAATTACAATTAGCTTTGAATTTTCTACTAATATCACTACTGTCGTTTTTTTTATTGTTTTCTTTATTTACAAGATGCTCATGATTTATAGCTTTGTCATAAATATTAGATCATTAACAAAAAATTGCGAAAATCTCGTCAGAAAAAAATGTAAATTCCTTTTCGGAAAGAAAAAAAATTCATCGAGATTCATTTCGATTATTCACAATAAATTTGTCTAGTCGACAACAGTCATTGTTTCATTTTGTTCAAAAAAAAAGAAAAAAATCGTGAAACGATCTAATAATTATTTAATTTGCTCTAGAAGAAAAATTTACACATTAAAAATTAATTTCTCTGAAATAACTTCTCACCAGAATCTGGCAGTAAATTCTCTCTATCGATATGCAAATTAATATCACATGATATTATGCATAAAAGTTGGATTATGCCACGCTTAATAAACTCATACTTTTTTTACACTCGCAAAAAAGGCAGAATTGTAAATTAATATCCCAAATAAAACCCAATATTTTTAATTGATTCTAAAAAAAAAAAAATTCCCCAAGAAACAGTATTTTATTTAAATTATTGTAAAATTAATTTTTTAATTATTAATTTTGAAAATACTGTTTCCCCTTTATTTATTTATCAATAAATATATATAATTGTTAATATTCTATCCCATTCCCCGATTAAATTTTTTATTTCACTAATTAAATACCAAATAAGTAAATTTCAATTACAACTATAATAATGAAATTGATTTTACGAATTTTTCGATGATAAAACGAAAGCACCTCTATTTTAAGGCAATTAACATTGTATATAAAAATATTTTTTCAATTATTTAACAGTTAAAAAGAAAAAAATTATCAAAAAAAAACTTCAGTTTCGCAAAAATTAAATTTTTCAAAGAATAAACAATTTTTTTTATGGCAAGTCGAATAAAAAATATTAAAATACACATAATATATTTTTAATTAAAAAAAACGATAAAGACTGTAAAAACACAGTTAAAAGGACAGTTTCTTTGTTAATTGTAGTCATTAAATGGCAATTGAAAACGTAATAACTATAAATAATATAAAATTGTAATTGACCATTGATTATTTGAAAGTTTCGTCGGCGTATTACGCATTGAATTTTCATAGTTCGTTTAACTATGAACTACAATAAGGCCTCATGATCAATTTAGTACCGTTAATCTAACACTATACATTACACAAATGACTTATGTACAAATAAGACATTGAAAAGAACTTGAATTTAAAATTGATTTTTTTCTCCCGTATAGTATTTTAATTATATATTTACACTTTTCTTTTTAGAAATAAAAATGTTAGAAGTGCTCAACTAATTATTGAAAATTTAAATTACTATAAAGCATAATGTAGTGTAAACACATGTGCGTGATTTTGAAAATAAAATAATTAATTTTAATTAAAATTAGAAGCTACTTGGTGTACATTGCATTATGCTTTTTTTAATAACAATATAAACAGGAGAAAACCCACAAAAAACGGAAATAAAACACAAATACACAAAAAAAACGTTAAAAATACATTCTTAATTAATTTTGATTCAAAATATTGTGCTATTTTAATAAAAATCATATTCAATGATAACAAAATTGAACAAAACGGTATTATGCAATATAATTGATTAATGAATTATTTCAATTCAATTAAAGATTTTAATTTCATTAAAGAATTATTTTAATTTAATATTTAACGATTAAATATTTAGCGATGTGATGATTGAAAGCAAAACGTATCAATGGCACAGCTCTCAATCAAAACATCGGAAAAAAATCATTGTTTTCCGAAACAATTCTTTGATTATTCAATTAAAATTAACTTCGTATAATGTAAAATGCTGCATTTCTACTAAATACAATACAATAATAAATAAACATTGAAAAAATGTTTGATAAACATTAATAAATTAATCAGTTAGGGAATAAAAAAAATTAATCTCCCTTGTTAGAAATTACTACGAAAAAAAAATTAAAAAGCAGCAAATTTATAAATATTTAAAACAACTCGATAGCGGTATTAATTAAAAAAAATTATCTAAGGTTTCAAACAATCATCTAATGAAAATTGTCTAAAAAAAAATGTCTGAAATAAAAATCTAAGAATGACTCGTCCTTCAAACTGTTGGGATTATTAAAAAAAAAAAAAATTCATTTCCTTATTTTCTCGTAAGAGGTTTCAAAAATTTTTCAAACTACCTATTTTTTTGGTGAATTGAGTAATCTTTCGCGTTCCTTTTCCTCCTCGGAGAAATGAATCCTTGTGATTACAATATCACCAGTGCTGAGGGTTTGACACGCGACTTCTTGATTTTGTTTTGGAACACTTTGTGATTGATTAGACATTTTGTTTAATTGGCACATACACGTACACTTGGTAGGAGATGTTGCCGTTGACACTGAATCCAATGTGTCAGTGTCATTTGTTGAACCGGTGACTGCCGATAAAATTGCCTCGAGACGTTCAATTTTTTCAAAACGATCCATTTGCACGTCGGAGAGAATTTCGTCCATCATGTGCATTGATTCGGTGAGACTTGGTGTTTCTGAATTACGTGGTGACACTACACCGCCTAGGGGAAAATATTTTTTAAATAAATATTGTTATTAAACAAATTATTATTAAATAAATAATTATTTTTTTAAATTTAGAGCCAGTTTCACCAGTTTAGATTTAAAAGTTAAAGATTAAATCCTTAACCGACGTTAAAAATTGGCTCGATGAGTAATTAATTTAATTAATTTTGTAAATTTATTAAATTTAGTATTTAAATAGTAATTCAGTTCATTTTTTAATGACTCTACGTATTCAATAATTAATAGCTACTAAATAGTAGCAACTAATATTATTAGTTTATTATAATTAATATCTACTAAATAGTAGCAATTAATTATTAAATATGTAGAGTGATTAAAAAAATGAATTGAATTTGTAAATTAAAATTGTACCCGAGTGGGATGTTTCTGAGTCGAGACTTGGATATTCCGCGTCATCATTTTTGTCATCGTCGTCATCGTCGTCACTAGAATCGTTTTTATCTTTGTCACCAATGTTTTCCAGTTTTTCCAATTTTTTCGCCACCTTGTAGCTGCCTTTCAATTTTTCCTTCTCCTCTTCAGTGAGAGATAAATAACGCAGAAGGCGAATTTCCCGATTACTGAGAACAATATTTTTTCCCGTCGTTTCCTCCATTCTTTTACGAAGATCTGCCACTTCGGTTTCAACCTTGCGTTGCTTTTTTCTCGTCTTCACATCCTGCGGCTTTATGTGCATGCACACCTGTTCTTCGCATAATTCTGCGAAAAGTGTCAACATCTCCGGCTTAATGAGTCTGTAGAACAAAAAAGAAATTAAATAAACTCTTAAATATAATTAAATTAAATTGATTAAATTAAATTAAATTATTAATAAAAATAGTTTTTAAATAAAAAATTAAATTTTAAGCGAACTTACTTAGACATGGCGTTGTAAATTTGGGGAACGAGGCTGAGAACATCGCTACTGGCATAAATTAGCATGTCGCGAGTCAGTGGACGTCTGGACCAATATCTTTGATCTCGACGATAAATATTTTTTAATTGTTCCTTTAGAAGATTACAAGGTGCGCCATACAATTCACAGAGAGCGTTTAAATTAACGTTCTTCACTTTATAAACAGGTTTGCCAGTTTCTTGAAATTGTAGAATCGCATGAGCAGCCTGAAAACGAGGGAAAAATTAATTTTAATTACTCCAGTTGCTTCTCATTGAAAAAGAATAATTTAACGTAAATATTTCTTACCTGTGTGTCGAAAATATTATTCAGAACAATTCCAAATTGGTTATAAAGATTGACACTGTCATTCCTACAGTCATGAATAACCTGAAAGAAATATAAAAAAAGAATTAACATTAAAATAATAGAAAATAGAAAAAATATACAAAAACAAAATTAATAGGGAAAAAATCAAATAGAAAATAGAAAAAAAGGCAAAATTCAGGCCTCGGATCGATTTTAAGGTGCAAAAAAGTCCCTTTATGATTAAAAATAGAAAACAAAGTAGAAAAAATTACTGTTTTTTATTTCTCCGACATTTCACCGATTTCTAAATTCAATTATTTAAAAATTCAATAATTTTATTAGACAAATATTTAAAATTAAAATTTTGAAAATTTCAGTTTCATATCTTCTGAAATTCAATTATTTTCAAAAACTACAACTGTAATTGTTTCGAAATTCAATTATTTACAGAATTTTTGTAACTAAAATTCTTCACTAAATCAAATTTTTTTTAACAAATTTAAGAATTCAATTATTTAAATACAAAAATTTAATTTTTTATAAAATTGTAACTGTAACAAAATTTCAATTATTTCCAAAAATTACAAATTCAATTCATTAAAAAATTCAATTATTTTCCAAAATATTTAAACAAAATTCTTCTCTAAATCAAACATTTTTAATAATTTGGAAAAGGTTTTTCCAAAATTCCATTATTTAAATAAAAAAATTTGAATTTTTTATCTTAAATTGCAATTGTAACAAAAATTCAATTATTTTCAAGAATATTTTAATAAACTTCTTCTCTAAATCAATTATTTTTAATGATTCTCTGAAAGTTTGTCTAGAAATCAATTATTTAAATTTAAAAATTCAATTATTACAATACAAATAAAAAAATTCTTGATTTCTCAAAAATTTTAAGATAAATGAATTTAAAAAAATTATTATAAAAAATTCTATGAATTAAAATTTTAAAAATACAATATTTTAATTTTTTGATAATTGTATTTTTAAAAATAATTTTTTGACAATTTAAAGAGTGAAACACTTTTTTAAAAGAATTATTTGAATTGTTCAAAATGTGTAATCGAAAATATTTTAATTATAATGAAAAAAATTCTAAAATTCACTTTTTTAAAAAATATTTCAATTTTTAAACTTTAATTTTTATTTAGTTTCAAATTTAAATTTCCACCTGAACATTTATGATCAAAAATTGTTTTGATAGTTATATTATTTTAAAAATTAAAATCCTTCAGAATTTGATTTTAAAAATTCATTATATATTTCAAAAATTTAATGATTTGAAAAAATAATTCAAAAATAATTTTTGTACTTTTTGACTAGTTATTTTTTACATAACAGAAATCGAAATAAGTTGCTTTTTATACCAAAAAATTGGTATTTTATTGCAAGTCTTGCAAAAAATAGTCGGAAAAGTGGCATTTTTGTAAAATAAGTTGAAGCAAATTGCCTTCTTGAAAATAGTAAAAAAAAAGTCTAAAAAATAAATTCTCAAAAAAGTAAATTCTCAACTCACTTTTACAACATTTTCATTTTCAAGAAGTCGTTGAAGCCCACCGGCTTGAATTAAACTTGGACAGGTGCATAAATCAAAAAGATAAGATTGCCCGCTCATTGTTCCAATTTGAAGAAGTGTCAATTGTCCCTTCATGCCGAGATTAACGCCTTCGCAATCGACCGAAATGACAATTTTCCCATCAGCCGGTGGTCGTCTAGGATTCATGATATCCTCAACAATACGAAGGCACTCACGAGGATTAACAATAACTGTTGTTTGCTGTATCACCTTTAATTTCCAAGCGTCACCCATTTGAACACTCTGCAAACTACGATCTCTTTCCGTATTATCGGCCAATGTTTTCATAACAAGTGTATTTATTCTCTGCTTCAATGTCTGTTGCTGCAAACTAATTGGCGGTGAATTATTATTACTTTCAGTTGGCGAATGTATAATATTCTGCAATGAATTTGGCTGTGAATTCGAACTATTCGACACAATACTGTCGGGTGAATTTTGAAAAAGAGTAATTTGATTTTGTATTGGACTCGATGTTTTTTGTGGTTGATTATTATTTTGATTTTGGTTTTTAGCATTTTCCTTTTTTACTTTACCATCGTTTTGGTATGATTTTGGCCGACCGATGAGTGTTACCAAATTACTTTGCACGTGAAATGCGTCTGAGAACATTTTCAGAAAAGTCGATAGATCTTGATGTGTTTGAAATATTGTGTCTTGGGGGAATTTTTCATTCACCATTGAAAATAATTGATCGACAGTGATAACACCTTTTTGTTCAATTGAAAGGGCGAAGAAATCTAATAATCTCGCTGTTACTTCGGGATCAATTGATATATCGGGTTCTAATTCACGAAATGGTTCGGCTTTCATGCCCTCGTATTGTTTTAATATTACTGTATCGTCATGAACGACAAATGCATCGGGATGCTTTTCGAGAAAACTTTGAAATTCCTTATAATGTTGGCCTGATATGTGTCGAACCTCAGGCGATGCTTGTGAACGATGTCCAAGTAGACTTTTTATCGGCACCTCAGTTCCGGCTCCGTACTGCATCAGTTTGTTAGAAAAATATTCTACGGCTTCGCGTGCATAATCACGTTTACCACTGCATTTTGTTCCGCTGTCTTCTTCAATTATTGGTTGAAATGTATTTACCGAGACGTAGTCATCGTCAATAAGAAAGAGTGATGGATATTGTGATAGAAATTTTTTAAGACCACTCTGTGAACCACCGGCTATTTGACGCATTTCTTTCGTAAAACCTTTTGCTCCAAATTGACAACTTAAATCATGCAGTGTACGTGGACCACCTTTATCCATGAGACGTTCAAAGAAAAAGAGGAGTGTCAAATTACGTACCAATTCATATTCAGAACTATCCATTTTTTCTTGTTTTTCTTTTTCTCACTTGTTTCTATAGATACTTTCCTCTTTTAATATCTAATTATAGTTAATTTTGTCCAATAAATCTGAAAAAGAGAAAGATATTAATAAATTTCCGATTATTAACTGCAATTTTAATCTTCTTGACATGTCTTGACATACTTGTATTTGTATTTATAACCGTTGCTTTCAAAGCAATAAGTATGTAATAATCTCATTAAAATAACAGGGTCACGTCGAAAGATCACAATATATTTTATAAACTCATTGTCATTAATTTTCTAATATAAGGAAATAATTAACAATTATTAAATCAGTACAAAACTAAATACTAAAAATAATTTTCTTCATTTTCATTTTAAATCTTAATGAAATAGTTGACAAGACAATTAACCTATTCAATACGTATAGTCATTAAAATTCCAATGGTAATTTATGAAGGTGAAATAGTTTTGTTGACAATAAAATTTACGTAAAATAACTTAAATTGTTTTATGGTTTATAAATTTATCTTGTATGGTAAGAATGGTACAAGAATAACATTTCTACAAACTACCAAATTTTTCACTTAAAAATTGAGGTTGTCGAATTTTAAAAAGATTAGAAATTTTCAAAGGTAAATTTTTATAGTGGGAGTAAAAGAAAATGGGCATGGACCCCAGTACCAGAGCAAAATCTACAATTTATAATCGGATTACATACCTTAAAAATTAAATAATGAATGAATGAATGAAAACTACTTTGGTGCAGGTCGGAGCCGAATGACTGGTGGTCAACAGTTATACACAGAGAGTCAACATTTGTCTCCTCTAATTTTCATTGAAGGAGCTTTCACTACATATTCACTTACATGTTCCCAAGTCATCAAGGGACAGTGAACTTTAATATATACTTCGACAGTTCGCGTCATACTAATCGGGCAAACATGATATAAATCTTGGAAACAGATTCTCACATTCTAACCTCAAAATTCAATTAAACGAGGTGATTCTTCTCTGTTTAAAAATGTCGAAAGAAATTTTGTCAATTCAGATGAATTTCTTTATTGTGGAATGCATTGTTTTATGTTTCGAAAAATAAAAAAATTATTTAGTTTAATTAACTTCAGCAGACTTCAAGGAAATAGTGATAGGGGTTTAAAAACCCATTTTATAAAAACAAATAATTCTTTAAAGTCAATAGAAATTGTTCAATTTTTCTTATGAATATTTTTTTATATAATTATTTGTTGTTTGATAATTTTGTATAAAGTTATTAAACTTGAGTTTCAAATTTTGATTTCTAAATTTCAGTAATTAATTATCACTTTTTAAAACTTTAATGAACAATTGAACAATAATAAAAAAGACAAATACATATATTAAAAATAGAGTGGTAATGTTGGTAGAACTGGTAGAAGTCTAGTAACTTTTTTTTATCTTAGGTTCGCATTCGATTGTACTGTGAAACGGGCATTATACAGATGACCTTGTCCAACAAGTGCCAACAAGTGTTGTTCACGGATTTAGAATCACTTAAATAAGTATTATTACATTTAAATCGTTTATCGTTAATTGTACATTTCAGTAATTAAGTTCAGTTTTGTACTAGTAATTGTTTGTAATTGTACTAGTAATTGTTTTCTTGTCAGCTTAGACGAAAATTTATATTTGTTCTATCCACCAAAACGTAAACTTCAAATTTCGACAAATAATTACTGGTAAATATCCCAGTAAAAAAAAACTAATTCAAATGAATTGAAACGAATTAACATTTTTGGTAGGCTCCAATTCGTATTTGTCACAAAGCGGGATTCACTCAAGCTCTTTGTATATTCAATTGAATTTAATTCAATATGTACCAATTTGTCCAAACGAATTCGCATTCGAAAGAAATGGCCAAGGAATGCATTGAATTCGTGCTAACGAATTGAAAAAAATTAAAGGCTCAAAACTTGTCCAGTGAATTGGTACGGATAGAAGGTTCGGAAGTTCAATACAGTTTCACGAATTCAGGAAAATTGCATCATGGCTCCAATTCGTATTTGTCACAAAGCGGGATTCACGAAAGCTCTTTGTGAATTCTTTTTAATTCATTTCAATTAGTTTTCGTTTACTGGGATGTTCATTATATTTAATATAATTTATATCAAATTCCATAAATAATTATTATAAATCGTACAAATATATTAATATTGTTTGCAAAATTGTATTCTCAACTTTTCGAAAATATTTCGTTTTATTTCGCATCGCTGCCTTTAGATGTCAGTGTAAGGAGAAATAAAAAATTTATTTTTATTGAAATAGCAATTACAGATGAAGGAAATAATTAAAATAATATTTAAAATCAATTAATTAGTAAAATAAAACAATTATTTAATATTTTCATTTAAAGAAAATTAATGAAAAGAGAAAAATGTACAATCACGGTAGATTTAAATATGTTAGGTTGGCAACCCTGTTCACTGCTAACTTCGCAATAGACGCCGAGTCGCCGACGCCATTTTGCTGTATAGAATGATGAGAGGACGCGTTTGTGCTTGTTAACATCAAATCGTAATATTGCATTAAAATCATTACGTTTACTGCATGTTTTTTTTGCCAATTAAGGTCAGTATTATGTCAATAATTTATAATTCATATTAGTTTTTTGGCAACTTGAATATAAAGTAATATATTTGAGAAAAGTTTTTCCGACAAAATTTTAACCTCAAAATTTTTTCATTGTTGCGATTGCGACCATTGCGATTATAACAAATACAGGTATAAAGTTCAGTGTAACATAATTAAATGCAAATAATTAATAATTTGAACAAAAATGAAGTATTTAATTGAGGCCTTGGATCCAATAACTCGCCCGACGCTCGAAGGCACGCGCTAATACCAGTCGGGTAGCAGTGAGTGGCCCAGAGGCGCTCACTGCTCACTGACTGGCAGTTGCGCGTTTCTCCGAGCGTCGGGCGAGTTATTGGATCCAAGGCCTCAATTATAATTTAATAAAACTTTTTTGAGTAAAATGTGACCTTGAAATTAGAGTGTCGCTATTATTTATATCACGTTCATAATTTGTAATGCAAATTGATAATTCAATTAGATATTACACAGTTATCAATGGAAGATAATCTGGTGCAAAAATATATATTATATACACCAATATGTCGTCATTGTTGAAAAATAGTTGAAAGTTAACGAATATTTTAGGGATTAAGAAAAATATTTATTAATATTTAAGTAAATCATAGGAATTTTATAGGTAATAATTTTATTTATTTATTTCTTTTGATAAACATAAATATTTTAAATAATCTTTAGGCCTACGCAGCTCATCTGCGTTTCCCAATATGCATTAGAATGCGTTCCTCGCATAATGTCGCAAAAAGTCTCAACATCTCCGGCATGATGAATACTTCGCCAAAAGTACGATCTCTTGCCCTATAAATAGCCATTTGTATAAAAATTGTATTTATTCTCTACTGAAAGCTCAAACAAATTTTTTTCTTCTATTCAGAAACAAACGCGTTTTACAGATTCTTAAGGAGAGTTGTCCTTGTCACATTTTTCCCCTTCTACTGTTTTTGCGAGAAACCGGAATCGGAAGGAGATGAGTAAGTGTCGTCGAAATAGCGGAAGAATTAAAAATGTTTTTGTTTTTTTAACCATTTTCAAATAAAAGCGCTTATTTTGAGCCAATCAAATCAATTTCTCATAATTTCCGATTCCGGTTTAGTTGACATGTTTTTTTTTTTATCTTGGGTTGGTATCAATGGTAGACATTTGTTATCATCGCATTGTTAAAAAAACAGTTGAAACTGTAGAAAAGTAACGAATCTTTTGTAAAATCAAGAAAAGTATTTAATAATATTTAAGTAAATGGCGAGACGTTTTTAATAATAATTTCCAGTCTGATTCAAATATGGAAAATTTTGAATAATCTTTAGTGTTAAAAATTGTCGATGTTTTAATATTTAAACGAATTTAAAAACGTCAACAGTTTTAACCTAAAAATCGACAGTTTAATTTTGACTTCGAATTTCTTTTGTCTGCAATCTCTGCAATTAAAGACAAATGGAATATAAAATGAGATTTGTACCCGCGTGAGATTAGTAAAGTGAAAATTTCTTTCTTGTTTATTTAAAAAGAATTTTGCCTGAAATATTTGGAAAATAATACGCAATTGTACTTTGTGTTTTGATAAAACACTTTTGCACTGCGAAAGCAAATTTTCTTTACCAAATGAAAGAAATTTATGAACTTTTGTAAATTTCGCCTTGAATTTTGTATAGCTTTTATTAAAATAGTATAAATAATTTTTTTTTTCAGAAATAATTATTAAGTATTGTTGAGAATTTTCACTGATTTATTTTATTTACAGATTCAAGAGTCATTCAATAACAAAATAAAGAAGGAGGATTAAAATTTTGCTATGATCCAGAAGTCAGCTATTTTATCAATACATAAGGATATTTAATTTGTAAGTATTTTTTATTTTTACTCTCTTTACAATTTCTCCTTTTTCTTCTTTTTTCATCTCATAAATGCTATTTATAATATAATTAATTAAAATTCAATTATGAAATTTTTAAAACTGAAAACTGTTTTTTGATGAAAAATATTTTCTTGTATTTGGGACAAAAATGTTAGATTTTTATAAAAAGTATGGAAATTAAACTTTATAAATTATTTAATAACAATTGAATTTTAACAAATTATTATAATTGTTTATAATTCTTTGTAGTGAAATTTCTCTCATGAAGAACTTTATTTTCGAACGTTGAATAAAAAAACAAGAAGAATAAAGGATACAGGATGTTGAAGAAAAAAGCGGCTGACTGAATGTTGACTTTACTACTTTCAGTGTATAAAAGGGAAGGATCCATGAGCAACGCTGCAACATTTTTCGACGTATTCAATTTGTGAACTCGGTGAGTTTTAAAAATTTCAGTACCATATTAATTTAATTTTAATTTTTATTTATTTAACTAGCAAAAGTTACGCGCGCGGAACGTGATATTCAATTTATTATTATTATGCAAATTACAAAATTTTTTTATATTTAAATATAAACTTTAATTTTTTAATAATTTTATATTGAAAATTTAAAAAATTCACAGAGTACAGAATAAATAATTAAAGAATTATTTATTATTGTTTATTACTTTAAAAATTTTTAATAAAATTCTTTGCAAAAATTTAATTATTCTCATAAATAATAACATTCTTTGGAAGAATTCAATTATTTTTATGAATAGTAAAATTTTTTGCAGGAATTTAATTTTTAATAACATTTTTCTACAGAATCCAATTATTTTCTAAAATTTTAATAAATTATCCGAAACAATTCAATTATTTATATAAATAAAATTCTTCTCATGAATTCAATTATTTTTAATTACAATTTTAATAAAATTCAATAATGAAATTATAATTATTGATAGACAGGATTATTTTAAAAAGATGAAAAAGTCTTTTTTTAATTCAATTCTTTTCAAAATTTTCAATTAAAATTATTAAAAAGCTACATTATTTTCAAGGAACTTAAAGAAATTCTTCTAAAAAATTTAATTAAAAAAATTCCATTAAAATTCTTTAAAGAATTTAATTTTCTATCAATAATTTTAATAAAATTTAATAGAAAAATTGTTAATTACAATTATTAACAAAAATTGATTTTATTAAAAAAATTAAAGAATTTTTTTTAAAGAATTAAATTATTTTTAATATTTTAGTAAAATTCATTGAATGAATTAAATTATTTTTAAAACATTGTAATAAAATTCTGGGAAGAATTTGAGGATAATTTAATTATTTTCTAAAAATTTTAATGAAAATCAGCAATTAAATGTTTTAATTCAACGATTATTTTAAAAACTTGAAAGAAATTCTTCATAAAATTCCTGATCCTAAAGTTTTGAACGTTCAAATGAACGAAATTTATTTATTTCTTCTTGAAATTAAATTTTTATTACAATAATTTTGCGTCACTATCAGGAAAAAAATAATAATGAAGTTTCTAAATGCAAAATTTGCCTTCAATTTTTATTGCAATCAGTAATTTATAAAAATATTTCGTTTATTTGAATGTTCAAAAGTTGTGAATCATTAGAATTCAATTACATTCAAAAATTTTTAATTAAAATTATTAAAGAAACTCCATTATTTAAAAAAAAAGATTTAAAGAAATTAGGATTTTCAAAAATTTTATTAAAATTTTTCTTGAGAATTCAATTATTTTCATAAATAATTAAATTGTTCGAAGTAATTCAATTATTTTGAAATTTTTTAATAAAATTCTTTGCTTAAAACTACGAACAGATTACAGGAATACATCAATTAGTAATGTAGATATATTTATTTAATTTTTTTGTACCGTTAATTTAATTTTTAGTTAATATTTTCAAAAATAGATAATTAGAAAATAGAATTTTCATGACTTAAATTATTCTGCATTTACACTTTCTCTTTTTCTTTGAATTGTCACGATTTAACTTTAATATATAAGTCAGTGTATTTCAGTTTGCTTTGCAACCTTAAAAATAGTTTTTTGAATCTGCAGGTTGGTGTACTCCAATTTTCAAGCGCTAGTGCCGTCAGAAGGAAAGAGTGGGTACTTGCATTTTGAGGTTATAGTCCCCGCGTTCATTAGTGGGATAAGTTTACTTGGTGATGTAGGTTGGCTGTATAAAAACGAGAGAAAGAGAAAAGGGGTAGATACTAGTGGGTGTCAACTATTCATTTCACTTTGTTTTATTCGGTTGCTTTGCCTTCTGCTTCTTCTTTTTCTTCTTTTTTTAGTCATAGATTTTTTCTAAAAAAGAACTTCATTATTTCTTCATTTTCTCGTAATTTATTTTCCTTTGGTGATGAATAATGTAAAAATAAACAAGAAATTCATTTTTTGTTTGATAAAAGTTTCAAATTTAAATTATACATTTTCTATTTAACAGAGTTGCTATAGATCAGGGAATTCAGGGACAGAAGAATTGGTCAGGGAAATCAGGGAAAAGTCAGGGATTTTTTCTATTAAAGTACGGAAAAAAATTGAATTTTGAAGAAGTTACAAATGATTGCAGAAAGTCAATTATTTTCAAAAGTAATAAAATTCTTCGCAAAAATTCAATTATGTTCAAAAATTAAAAAAAAATTCTCGTCTAAATTTCAATTATCTTTAAAAATAATAAAATTCTTCTAAAAAATTTTCCTCAATTCAATGATTTTTAATATCTACTATTTTAATAAAATTTTAATTAATAAGCTTTAATTCAACTATTTACAAATTTTTTATAAATTTCTTCGCAATATTTCAATTATTTTCATAAATAAAATTTTTTACAGAGATTCAATATAATTTTTTTGACATTATTTTAAGTTTTTATTTTCTAAATATTTAATTGAAGAATTTTCGAATATAATCAAAAGTTCGTAAAATTGAATTGTAAACAAATGGATTTAAAAATTATCAAGGAACTTTTGCAAAAATTATTTAAAATAATTGATAATTAAATTCTTTCGAAGAATTTTAATAAAATTTTTGAAAATTATTACATTTTTCGAAGAATTTACTTAAAATTGTATTAAAAATAATTAAAATCCTGTGAAGAATTTTATTATTTAGGAGAATAATTTAATTCTTGCAACGAATTTTTATTACATTTTTTTAAATAATTAAAATCCTGTAAAGAATTTTATTCTTTATGAGAATAATTGAATTCTTGCAACGAGTTTTATTACATTTTTTTAAAATAATTTAATTTTTTTTTGAAAATTTTTTATAAAAGATAAAAGAGATAATTTAGGTTATTAAATTATTGCAAAATTATAAAATCTTTGGAAAATAGAAAAAAATTTATACGGTAACAGGCTGTTTAACTTATAAAAGTTTTAATAGTTTATGACAGAATTATGAGCTTAATTGCAGATTTTTATAACATTCATATTTTTTTCACGGCTCATTCCTTTCGTAAATGTTTGAGTAATTGATAATAAATGTTCTATTTGAATTTTACAGCGTTTTAATTTTTTTCGTTTATTATTTTCTTCATTATTGTTAATTTTAAACTTTATTACACCATATCAACAAGTAATTAATATAAAACTTGTAAAATTGTCGAGTTTTCTAAAAATAGAGCGCAGAGGAATAAAATCAAGGAGAATGACTTTAGTTTTAACCAAAAAATAGAGCGACGGCACAAAATTATAGAGAAATGTTCTAGTTTTATAGTGAAAAAAATAGAGTAAAAGGATGAAAATTAAAGAGAATTGCTCGAGTTTTACAGAAAAAATAGAGAAAGAGTGGTTTAAAATAAAAAAAAAAAAGAAGTTCTATGGTATTCTGTGGAAAAATAAATAATAAAATTGATTTAGTTTTTCACAGAATACAATAATTTTCTAAACTCTTTTTTCTATTTTTCAATCTATTGATAAATTAAATTAGGAGAAATAGTTTATGATAAATATTTGCTTTTTGTATAAAAATCGTTTTTTCTACAAAATAGTTAGAGACAAAGTTATTTTTTTTTGCTCTTAGTGTAAATTTTTGAGAATTTCCTTTTGATAAAATTAATGAATTTTACCATTTGTTCGAATTTTGTTTTTGCAGAATGTCCAGGTGATCGAATTTTTATCTGGCCGAAGAAAACTTTAAGCAATCGAAAGCTGAATATGCTGTTCTCAAAAAATATACTGTCATCGATTTTTTCTTGAAGATCTGTGTTTTGGTAAGCAAGAATTTAATGTCAAAAATGTATTAATTGTGTTTTTTTTGTTAATTGTTCTTTTGTATTTATTTTGGTATTTTTTCTGTTAATCGACATTTTAAATAATTTTTTTTGTTTTCTTAATTTTTTCGATTTCAATTGATTTTTTTATTCGAATTTTTATCTAGAAGAGTTTTTTTTTTACTTTTTATTAATTAATTCCCTTGAAGTTTTGAATGTTCATAGTTTCATACTGAATGAAATTTTTTTTGTGCTAAAATATTTTCAAAAATTTTTATACTAAAATGAAAAACAATACAAATTAAACATGCAATTTAGTCATGAATTAATTTTCTCAGGATAAAAAATAATTTTTTATAATAAAATGCAAATTAAAAGCAGTAACAAAAATATTGTCGTTGACTTGAACGTTCGAAACTTTAGAAACATATTAATTTTCACAATTTTTGTTTCTTCAAAGTTATGAACTTTCAGATGAATAAAATGTTTTTTTACACTTAAATATTTTTAAAAATTATTGGACTGAAATGAAAAATATTCTAATTGAATATTTATTTAGTTAAAAATGATTTTTCTAATTATAAAAAAAGTGTTTTGTAATAAAGTTCAAATATAAAAGAATAAGTGAAAAAAATATTGTTCCTTTGAACGTTCGAAACTTTAGAGACATCAATTTTTATTAAAAGTAATAAATTTCAATAGTTCTTGTTTTACATTTGAAGTGATAAAAATATCTTCATATTATAATCGTGATTTTTATCGAATTTTGTAGAGAATTTTGATAATAAGATTTTGAATTTATTTGTTTATCAATTTCGAAAAGGGCACAAATCTAAAAATTGTAGTCATTTTCATTATTGTCATGTGAAAATGACACTTACGCTTTTTCAAGTTGAGCCCTTTTCGTAATTCACGATTCAATTGAATATTTAGAAATAAATAATTATTTTCTTAAATAAATGCCGAATTTCCATTATTGTAATTAAAATTTAATTCAATATTCTTGGTATTTATAATCTCAATTAGTAAAAGTAATTGTTTTTAGTAAAAAACAATAAAAAAATTATAATTGTTTTTAGTGTTTTAAAATACTTAATTAGAAATGTTTATTACTGCAAAAAAAAAAATTGCAGTTTATTTATTTAAAAAAATATAATACAAAGTTTGAAATAATATTTTGAAACGATTTAGAACGTAAATAA